GTAGATGAAGAAGTTTTGACAAGACGTAGAAAGTGTATTCTACAACCACCCAGAAATACGAGGTCCACAAGCACACAAATCGAGTTTATTTATACATGATCGAGACGTCCTTGGGAAAGCCACAAAATAGCGTACTAAAATAACACATCAACCAATGACAGTCAAGGATTTTCCGAGTGGGAAATGTAAGCTGAACGTCAACTGAGCAACCCATGCGCAAAAACATGAAATCCAAAATTAGGACCTTTTCCAAGTGAGTTCTGCGGACCTAATGTCCCCAACACAAGGCTAAAAGACTAGTAGGCTAATTAATTTGTCCAAAAGCTTGGGTGAGTCCTGTGGGCTAGACATAAAAGCACTCACTACAAAGTAACTCTGAATATTTCCCTCGTATTACACAAGGAACCTAATGGCTAGATGTGAATCGTTACATGAACCAGTTTGTTAGGATATTTACCAGATATCCTAAGATTACTATTTTTAGAAGTACAGTCCTATTGGTCGATTTCTATTGGTCAAAATTATGATCGTTCTAAGTGTCAAGGTTAAATACTTCAATGTTGGCTCTTATTGGTAATCTGGACTGTCAATGTCATTCAAATGTTCTTTTCTGTTGGCCGTCCTAAACTGTCAATGTCACAGACGTTGATGCTCTTTCTTATTCGACCCCAATGTATAAATACGCACTATCTGAAAGACTTATTGAATCGGATTCCGTTTCTCCTGCCTACCTCTCTTCTGTACTCGACCCAATAAACAACTCCATCCCACGTTGTTGCGTTCTGATATATAGGAGATTCGGAAATAGCATTTTGGGTCGTATTGGGATATTTGAATTGGACGCCGCTAGGACTGAATAGCTATACGTAGCAGCGTTACAACACAGTTGGTGGGTTAGGTATTGTATACAAAAGCGTAGATTACATTTTAACCATCTTGGACTACATAAATATATCTTCTATGAATAGATTTACTGTAGAACATCTCAACTTGTTGAATCAGAAAAAATTAAAGTGAAAGTTAGAGTTGGAATATGATATCCTCTCGGGGAAGATTTTTTTTATCCATGTAACATCCACTCATCAAAAAAATGCCCGAAAATACTGGATACAGCAAATATACTGAATATTACAAAAAAACGGATGTACTGCGGTGCGCGCTACTTATAAGTAGTATATGACGCGAGTGTAAACGTAATGTCTGGCAGCAGAAGATGGAGGAAGATCAAGAAAGGAAGTGGGAACACAAAAATGGAATTTGTATGAAACGCATGAATAGAGAAATGGCAGACAATGGATTGATGTTTTGCAAATTCACCGTTTATGGTATGGTTTTCCTATTTTACCAATTAACTCTGTGATTTACGATAAATACAATTCGGTGTTCTCCTTCACTACAGTACTGCTAATTTGTGAATGATACGCATCTTATCATCCTTGAATTTACTCATTCTTTATGAACATTGATTATTTATTTTAAAAAAAAAATAATCTCACTTCATATAATATTAGTATTTTAATCAAATGAAAAGTTACAATTATGACAAAAAACATTGTTTGAAATGGCATAGGTGTATCCATTCTTAGTGTTCTATCAAGTTTTAATCTTCTATAATTTCTCATGGCTTTTATCTTTCTTTTTTTCTAAAAATTAATTTCACTGAATTATACTTCCCCTGAATAGTATTTTCCAACCTGAATCCCCTTCATTACCGCTAATATTTCTATTACTATGGGATTTGAAATGACAGTTGTGTCTCAATGCTAATGTGTTATAGCAGATTGGATTAATGAACGTACGTATGTAGTTCTATGTTGCTGCTGAGTGACTGAGTATAGCATAATAAACTAACAGACAGATACAACGTAGAACTTCGTACGTAAGTATATCAGTTCAGGTTGCCATACCGCATTAGCACAGAGAACGCAACTGTCAGTTCAAATCCAATAGTGGTAGAGAGAGTAAAAGTATAAGCAGTAATGGAGAAGATTAGGAAGCGAAGATATGATTCGAGAAGTATAATTCAGTGAGATAAATTTAGAAAGAGAAAGATAGAGATTATGAGGAATTCAGAAGGTTAGAATTTGACAGAACACAAAAAGTGGATGCACTTGCGCCATCGCAGATGATTTTGAGCCATGTCATTCAACGTCTCTAACCATCGATTACTATCATCACCTCGTGGACCCCAATCAGATAGTAGTCTACACTTACCAACATTACTCAGTCCATTTGTCAGTGACTTCATGGATTTGTGCCATGTTTTGATTTTTTCCCCCTTAGATTTCTTCCAACCTATTCCTACACCACAAAACATTGATCGTCGAGGCATTCGGAGGTTGGACACTCGGTTGGACACATATCCTAACCACCTCAACTGATGAAGTTTCAATACTTCATCTATTGATGTGTTATCCCTACCTAGTACTCGTTTCCTAACGACAGCATTGCTTACTCGGTCGACCCACGATATACGAGCAATGCTTCGGAGACACCTATGATCGAGGACAAGCAATCTTCGAATTTCCTTTATTCTCACCGGCCATAGTATAAACGAATAAACTGAACAATACAAACCTTTACCTAGTAATAATATAAACAACTAAGCTTATTGAAGGCGATGTGCAAACAGTATAATTCAGACATGAATTAATTCACCAAATATTCTCCTGTATTTTATGTACTAACATGTTAAGCTTACATGACTTGTTCAAACTTTTGGAAAAACTAATGAACCTTTACTGTCCAAGTCACATATCTTTTGATCTTGTCTATTATTCACCTACAACCTTGATTGCTCTTAGTTGTGTGAGTACACTGATCACATAGATTATCACGTCTAGCCTATTTTTGTCTGACTAGAAATACTTAGGCCGCCCGACTACACTTACCTTTTCTAATTCACTTCTCTCATACTTACTCTTTTCATACTCATATTTGTCTGCTTAAATAAAAACATGATATGGATTCATCCGACCATATCCATAGTTGGGTTCATATTACTTCCGTCACACAAACTGGATTCAACCAAGTACGATTTATATGGAAATGGAAGGGAATATTTATTTTCATCACATACTCAGTCATTCGTACAAATTGGAGTCAAATCACGGGCCACTAAAGTGGTGTTAGCAGGATAAACATAGGATTAAAGCGAGACTGTGTGTAGCTGCATGCTGATTGGTTAATTCTCATCCAAATCAGCGCTAGTAGATATTTAGAGTACATTCCTGAAGCTTCTAAACTATGAAGATACTAACTTTGTCCCTATTTCGCCTTCGCTTTGGCTTCTTACTTCCACTTAACCTATTCAACCGTGTTCTGATTTGGGGACTTGTCGAGTGGATTGGTATCCGAGAATACTAACTAAGCAATAGGAACAGTTTGGTTCTACTAAGGAGAGAATAATAACAAGTGGTGAGCCCTACTTCAAATTTTTAATGAAGCCACTAAACTTTATTTAATTGATGTATTAAGTTTCATGTTTCTGTCATCATAAACACCATATCGTTTCTAATCTCTCCCTACGACAATCGTATGAACTCCAACCAGATTGGTAAGTAGTCAAGTATCTACTTGTCAAAATAGCTTCACTCAAGAGTTAATAACCTGCTGAAATAATGTCATATCTTTGTTTGATCGCCACTAATTTTCTTCCAACCTGTTAATTTATACATCATCAAATAAACGTAACCATGAACAAATGAAAATAAAAAGGACTCTTTACCCTTGCATACACACACACAGCATTACTTACAGAATCATGAAACTGTATAATTTTTCATTATAGAGCTATGGAGATTGTTGTTAATTACTGAAATCACGAATCAATCATTGTTGAACCACCAAAAGGAACCCACAAGCACTGGAACGCCGCTTCGTCCTACTACGGGACTCATCAACAACTCCTACTGTGGTGTGAGCTACTTATAAGTAGTATATGGCGTGAGTGTCAACGTAATGTCTGGTGACAGCAGAAGATGGGACAAGATCAAGAAAGGAAGAGTTAGAAAACAATGGAATTTGTATGAAACGCATGAATAGTGAGCGACAATGGATTGTTGATGTTTTGCAACAGCAACAGTCCAGTTCGATATGATGAATTCATGATATTTTGCAAATTAACAATTTACGATATGGTTTTTCGATTTTACTGAGTAACTCTGTAATTTTCGTTAAGTACAATTCGGTTGCCCCATCTGTGTTCTTCACTACACTACTACGTGCAGGGTTCGAACCTAGGACTTTTGGTCTTGCATGCGAACGCATAACCTCCGGACCAACTCAGCCAGCGCATCCAACAGTGCTAATGCCTAACTCTGATCAATCTAGGAATTTGGCGCGACCTCAGCCACTTGTTTTCGGTAGTTACTGTCTAAACCCTGATCACATCTTCCTCACAAAGCTAATCACTAGTGAGCATATTGTACGATTTTCCATTCAATATCCTAAGAGAATTATTATTGGTCAATTCCTATTGGTTAATTCCTCCTGGCCAATTATATGATCGTCCTAGATATCAATGTCACGTGCTCCAATGTTGTTTCGGATTGGTCATTCTGATTATCAATGTCACGTGCTTCAATGTTGTTTCTTATTGGTCGTCTTAACTGTCAATGTTAAAGACTTCGATGCTGTCTCCTATTCGACTAAAATGTATAAATACGCATTATCTGTAACGTTTTATGACGCGGACTCAGATCCCTAGTCCGGGATCCTGATTCTCTTCTGGACTTGGACCTCGTACTTTCTGGATGCTTGTAGAATACATGTTCTACTTCATATCAAGTCTTGTCTTCTTTTACTCAATGGAGGGTTTGGGACACTCGGATTAGAGTAGCCTATCGTGTCGCCGGATCATCGATCCTCGCTCTCGTTTTCCAACTAACGTAAACTCGTAATCGTTCAAGCATTCTCAAATGACATGTTTACATGCATGCGTAACACAATCATTACACAAAAAATATGATACACAAGACAATTAAAAGACTAAAATTATGTATATATATCACATCCTGAAACACATGGCATTTTTTATTTCTATTCAACCATACAAATATAATAAATAATAGGGAGAAAGTTTACCAATGCTAAATTTGAAACAAGATTTCGACGACAAATTTTCCGAAAAAACAAAACACAGTTATTTTTTTTACAAGAATAAGAAAAAAAAAATAAGTGTCATTTTTGAAAAAAAAATTATAAACTAAATTACTCATAATAATAATAATCATAACAAGAGGAGTAGTAACAAACCATTTTATTCTTTCTCTTTACGACGTTTCTTTTCACGTCGTTTCTTTCGACGACGTTCTTCATCGGTCATATCAAAATGACGTATTTTATAAAGATCTGATGATTGTGTTAACGATGCTAGTGCCGCTGATGCTGGTACTGGCAGCGGCGGCGACGATGATAATGATGCATGATTCATTTCCATTGGAATAGGTGACATAGATCGTGATGATGATGAATTTTGACTTAATGATGAAGTTGGATATGAATGATGAATGGATCCAGTAGCAGCAGGATGATGATGTTGCTGTTGCTGATGCTGAGGATGCATGGATGACGACATTGGATGTTGATGTTGTTGATGATGATAGACATGGGATGAAAACTGGTGTGGTTGTTGTTGCTGTTGTTGAGGATGATGAGAATAAAACTGTTGAGATGTCGGAGGATGTGATGATAAAGTTGAATTGATAGAATTTGTACTTGGTGGATGAATAGAATGAAGAATAGGTGGAGCTGGTGGAATAGATTTATTCGGTGTTATATTTAAATCTGTTGTACTATTACTACTACTACTACTAATATTGTTGCTGTTGTTATTGTTATGTAAAAGATTTAATGTAGATGGTGTATTCTGATTTGAATGTGATAATTTTTGATTTGAAGAATGATGACTATGACTATGACTATGATGATGATGAGGATTTATGATAGGAGCTAATAGAGGAGGTGGTGGAGGTTCTGAAGATAATGTTGAAATAGACGATAATGATGTGGATGAATGAGAATGTGGAATTGATACAGGAATAAGACCAGGTGGATGATCCAACAATTTGTTATGATTTACTATTTGTGTAGTAGTAGGATTACTATTTTGATGATGTTGATGTTGATCTAAATTGTTCGATGATTGATTTGATATTGTTGTTACATTTGTACTCGGAGTAGAAGTGCTTATACTTGAAGATGACGATGATGAAATTGTATGAGTTTGTGAAAGTAAAGATTTTGAAGATAATGTTGATGCAGTTGTAGGTATTGTACTTAAATGTGGATAAGCAGTTGGTGGTGGTCCAGTGAAAAATGAAGCTGGACTAGCACTAACATTTCCTGCACCTCCACCTAATCCAACACTTGATACTCCTATAGATGAACTACTATCACTACCTGAAGCAAGTGCTCCTCGATGAACTTCATGTCGACGACGTCTACGATGAAATGATGCGGAGTTAGAAAGACCAGGTACAACAATTGTAGCTGGTATACGTGTACCTGTAGTAGTATTATTTCCTAAATTTTGTTGTGATTGTGGTTGTTGTGGTTGTTGGGGTTGCTGTTCATTTTGTACACTACGATGAATATGTTTAGATGGTGCTGCGGCGAAAAGTGAAGCATACTCTTGAGGTAATGGTCCAGGATGTAATCGAAATGCATGATCTAATTGACTTGGTGCAAATGGTCTTAATTCTTTACCTCGAATTGGTGGTCTTTCTATTAAACTCTATAAAATAATAATAATAATAATAACAAGAATGTGTATTGATTTGAATTAATGTCAGGAAAAAAAAACACACTCAGTTCAAGTAGTTGAATGAATACAATCAGTCAGTCAGTCAGATGCAACGTAGAACTTTGTACATAAGTACATCAGTTCATGTTGCCATACCACATCAGCACAGAGAAGTAATCGTCAATTCAAATCCAATAGTAGAAGAGGTAGTAAGGGAATAAGAAGTAATCGGAGAGGTTAGGATTAGAAGATACTATTCAAGAAGTATGATTCAATGAGAAAAGTTTAGAGAGTCAAAACTAGAGGTGTTGAAGAATACAGAAGATTAGCATTTGAGAGAACACAAAGAATGGATGCACCTGCGCCATTGCAAACGATTTTGAGACGTCATTCAAAGTCTCTAACCATCGATTATTGTCATCTCGCGGACCCCAACCAGGTAGTCGACAATTACCGACATGGCTAAGTCCACTCGTCAATGACTTCATAGATTTCTGCCATGTTTTGGTTTGGCCGCCCCTAACTTTCTTCCAACCTATTCCTACACTACAAAACAAGGCTCGACGAGGCAGTCGGTGGTTGGGCATACGCAACACATGTCCCAACCACCGCAACTGGTGAAGTTTCAATACTTCATCGATTGATCTGCCATTCTTACCTAGCACCCGATTCCTAATAACAGCGTTGCTCACTCGGGTGTCCCACGATATACGAGCAATGCTTCGGAGACACCTGTGATCGAAAACCAGTAACCTACGAATATCTTCTACTCTCATTGGCCATGTTTCACAGCCATAAAGTAAGACGGAGCGAACCACTGCGCAGTACACTCGTCCTTTAGTCAGCAAACGGATATCTCGCCTACGCCATAAGTGACGCAGGTTGGCAAAAGCCAATCGAGCCTTCTGAATGAATACAATGATAAACATGTCAAAATACATGATTGTTATTATTATTATTTACAATTTAATAAACAAATACATGAACCTACGCCATCGCAGACGATTTTGAACCATGTCATTCAATGTCTCTAACCATCGATTACTATTATCACCTCGTGGACCCCAAACAGATAACAGTCTACACTTACCAACATGACTCAGCACACTTGTCAGTGACTTCATAGATTTGAACCATATTTTGGTTAAGTCACCCTCAGCTTTCTTCCAACCTATTCCTACGTCGCAAAACATAGCTCGTTTAGGCAGTCAGTGGTTGGGCATACGTAACACATGTCCCAACCACCTCAAATGAAGTGTCGATACTCCATCTATTGATTTGTCATCCTTACCTAGTGTGGTGCGAGCTACTTATAAGTAGTATATGACGTGAGTGTCAACGTAATGTCTGGTGACAGCAGAAGATGGGGGAAGATCAAGAAAGGGAGAGTTAGAAAACAATGGAATTTGTATGAAACGCATGAACAGTGACATTGGATTGATGTTTTGCAACAGGAACAGTCCAGTTCGATATGATGAACTTTTATTTTGCAAATTAACGATTTATGATATGGTTTGCCTATTTTACTGAGTAACTCTGTAATTTTCGTTAAATACAATTCGGTTGCCCCACCTGTGTTCTCCTTCACTACACTAGTACTTGTTTCCTAACAACAAGATTGGTTACTTGATAGCCCCAGGATATACGAGCAATGTTTCAAAGACACCTGCAGTTGAAAACCAATAACCTACGAATATCATCTACTCTTACTAGCCATTTTTCACACCCATAAAATGGCACGGAGCAAACAGCTGCGCAACAGACTCGTCCTTTGGTTGGTAGACGGATATCTCACGGAAGCTATAAGTAACGCAAGTTGTCAAACGCCAATGGAGCCGTGAAAAAAAATTGACCATGAAAAAATTGGCAGATTGAAAAGCAAGTTGAAACATTAACTAAGCAGGCAATGCAACTTTTTGCCGGTTTCAAGCCCGGGTAAAGGAGGAGGGTTGGACATGAGGTTAGTTACCCTCCTCGTAAAAACTCAACTTGCTAAAAAAAACGCTAACCAGAAAAAATAAATCGCTGGTCGAGTTGACCTACGCTTCATCAGGGGTAACACATGTAAGCAAGTAAATAAGCTGAGCAACTTTTATAATTCATACTTGACAATGAATGAATATTGTTAGATTAGATGATGGCTTGTAGTCAAATTCAAGAGGTGCATTTCACCTCCTTATTTGGAACTTATCAGTTGAATGTATATACATACATTCTAGTTATAATGTTCATTACATTTAGATTTGAATCTAGGTACTTTTCGTTTTAAACGCTACTCGCAGGATTCGAACTCAGGATCTGTTTCGCGAGGACACCTAACCTCTGGACCATAGAGCCGGTATTCAATGGTGTTAATGTCTAACTCTGACCTCACTCATTGTCTTCTGTGTTTATTGCCTACACACGACGGGGTTGAACTCCATTGGTCATGTCTTTTCACTAGAACTGCTAGAACCTCACGGATTGTGGATGCACACTGCTAATGAATCCCATACAAGGACGAAACGGCTGTCCAGTAGTTCCAGGTTTCTAATGGTGGTCTAACAATGATTTATTCATGGTTCCAAGGTAAAACCACCATCTCCAAAATACCCTGATGCAAAATTATTATTATTATTATTATTACTTAAACGCATAAATAGTGGTACAAAGCGGTACGCATATATTTATGCGCCACAAAAATCAATGAATATGTTTGGGCTGGCATATTGCCTGGGTGCCTAAACCGAAGTACGTAGTCTCTCAAGAGGCTACTCTTCCCGAAACTTTGACCCAAAAGTCTAATCCACGAAGCAGTGGAGCACCATCAAGAGATGCAGCTTTATGGTAGCCTGTCAACAACAACAGTTTCATACGCCATTTGTTCCCTCAGGATTCTGAACTTCATGAGTACCACTGGTTTAAAATCAGGTTTTTCCTACTTCTCTACTGGGTGAATACATCGCACATACCAACTTGGTTAAAATACCAGACATATGCTTTTTGTTCTGTCAATTTCTAAAACAACACTTCTGCTACAAGAAGGCAATGAGTAGAACTTCCGTGGTAGTGACTATATACGCATAGTCATATGAGATGCATATTGAGATGGAGAGTGGACTGTTGCCACTCTCAGCCGTACCAAGGCATTTGGGAGCACTAATCGGACTAGGTAGGAAGATAAATATCCTTACCGAAATTACTTAGAAAAAAAGTTAGATTGAAATTCGAAATAATCTATGAAACTTGACGTATTTATTAAGAAAGAAATAATTTACGACTTTAATATTCATTATGAATTCAAACGGTGAAACCAAAACATGGCACAAATCCATGAAGTCACTAACAAGTGGACTGAGTCATGTTGATAGATGTAGGCTACCTGGTTGGGGTCCGCGAGATGAAAGTCACCAATGGTTAGAGACTTTGAACGACATGGCTCAGAATCGTTTGCAATGGCGCAAGAGCATCCACTCTTTGTGTTCTCTCTAATTCTAACCTTCTGAATTCCTCATAATCTCTATCTTTCTCCTTACAAATTTATCTCACTGAATCATACTTTTCGAATCATATCTTCGCTCCCTTATCTTCTCTATTACTGCTAATACTTCTACTCTCTACCGCTATTAGATTTGAACTGACAGTTGCGTCTCTGTGCTGATGTGGTATGGCAACCTGAACTGATGTACTTATGTACGAAGTTCTGTGTTGTATCTGTCTGTCAAACGGTGAAACGATGATTTACTTACTTAGTTGGTGATTAAAGCACTTGACTTTTAGCTAAATGACCGACCTGCTTAAACTTTTTACCCGGTTAATTGGGTAGTATATGATTAACCTTTACACAAAATGTCACTTAAAGCTGAATATATAAACTTACAAACTTAGTCAATAAGTTACATTAAACTGAACTCATGTGTCGAAGACTTAAAATGCAATAACTTAGTACAACCATTAGCTACAATTTATTCTCCAAGACTTTTAGCTCTTACATGGTCACCTACACAATAAATATGGACCTACCAATATGCTCTACTCTTACTGACAATGTTTCACACCCGTATAGTAGGATGGAGTGACCTGCTGAGCTGTAAACCCGTCCTTTGGTTGATAGACGGATATTTCGCCTACGCCATAAGTGACACAAGTTCAGTCAGTTACAAAGTAAAACTTCGTACGTAAGTACATCAGTTCAAGTTCCCATACCAAATTAGTACAGAGATATAATTGTCAATTCAAATCCCATTGTGCAGAGGTAGTAAAAGTATTAGAAGTAATCGGAGAGATTAGGGTTCGAAGATGTTATTCAGTGAGGTAAATTTAGAAAAAGAAAGATAGAGGTGATGAGGAATTCAGAGGGTTAGAATTTCATAGAACACAAAGAGTAAATGCACCTGCGCCATTGCAAACGGTTTTGAGCCATGTCACTCAGGGTCTCTAACTATCGATTATTATCATCTCGCGGACCCCAACACAAGCTAGCCCAGGCCAGTCGAGCCTTCTGTATCCGTGCTGAGATCTTGTCAGTCACTAGGCCATCAGGACTGATGAGACTCCCAAGATAATTGAAGCAGTCAACACGCTCAACTACCTCACTCTCTATCACTAGTTCAGGTGCCGATGCAAACCAATCCTGAGGCAACATTTCGGATTTCGAGGGGGAGAATAGCATCCCTACAATGCTCGCATTGTTGCTTAATGTGGTCAGAAGACTCTGCATTTTGTCAGCGACTTCACCGGATAGATGCTAACAAAACGAAGTTTATATCGCACAGTAGATTTTATACGTTTACTTTGAGTCTGTGCTAGAATAATGGCTATGATCTTTGTAATGTACACATCATAACCATTTACTCTTAAACGATAGCTTTTTGGCCTAAGCAAACACTTGTAACACGTGATTTCTAGAACCGTCAGGTGAATATTTTAATGTATAATAACTTAAATCATTTGGAAATATTGTAAAGATAAAAATCAATATGTAGTGTTTAGGCAAAGTCAACTGCGAGTCATGCAAGATGAGGTAGTGAAGTCGATTAATTTGATATAATCTTTATAATATAACACTGAAACTCTTAAAACTAAATTGATTAAAACTTACCATTAACCCACTTTCATCAACTGAGGCCGGAACGTCAATATTTCCAGATAAATGAGGTAAGAAAGCATTTAATTCTTCTCTAAGGCGTTTACCACAAAATTTTTGATAAGCATTCTCTAAGCCATAATGTTCAATTAAGTTCTTAGCACCTGTGAGAGCGGCATCTGGAGCAGGAGGTTCCGTACCCATTAGGTAAAATGGTTCGCATGGTGCAACTGCCCAATTTTGTCCTCGCCCTACGATCTTTAACTTGTTAATCCAAGTGGCAGAGGCTGTATTTCCAGCCTGCAAGTTAGATGTGGTAACGCTGGCTGCAGAAAATGCAGGAGTAGGATTCATGACACTTGAAACTGAACAGAATGCACTAAGAGCTAAAAAAAAACAAAGAAAGTATGTTACCGTCGTGTTTGGTAATTTACACTCCGAAGTTCAAAAGAATGGGATGTTAAGTAAAGTATGGGTTATCATTGAACAATAATTGTATTTGTACAACGAATTCAGTCAGTCAGTTACAACGTAGAACTTCGTACGTATATACATAAGTTCAGGTTGCAATACCACATTAGCACAGAGACGCAAATGTCAAATTAAATCCCATAGTGACAGAGATAGTAGAGGTATTAATGGTAGTAATGAAGAAGACTAGGATTTGAAGATATTATTCAAGAAATGTAATTCAGTGAGATAAGGTTAGAAAGACAAAGGTAAGAGGTGTTGACGAATCCAGAAGATTAGGATTTGAGAGAGCACAACGAATGGATGCACTTGCGCCATTGCAAACGATTTTGAGCCATGTCGTTCAAGGTCTTTAACCATTGGTGACTTTTGTCTCGCGGACCCCAATCAGGTAGCCTACATTTACCAACATGACTCAGTCCAATTGTCAGTGACTTCATGGATTTCTGCCATGTTTTGGTCTGGCCGCCCCTAGCTTTCTTCCAACCTACTGCTACACCACAAAAAATAGCTCGTCGAGGCAGTCGGTGGATACAACAAATTAAAAATGCTTATACTAAGCGGATACATTTATATGCAGCAGCCTTTATGATACAACAAAATCAAACTTGATAAGGTGACATACAACTTTCTGTATGAAGACTGGATGTATATGAACTAAATATTTCCGCTTCAAGCTGTTAGGTTGGTAAGAACCTAGAGAACTATGTTCTGGTACTGTGAAAAAATATTAAACTGGGATATTACTGAGATAAGTTTACGATCTCTTTTTTAACAAAGGAAATCAAGATATGATGTAGTAGTTTTACTGAACAATTATGTTGATGCACTGACTTTGAATGAGCCTTGTAGGTTTCTCAGAGTAAATATTTTGTCGCGATGTTGGTGTGATCCGTTGTAACTCTCGATTTGATTGGTAGATGAGGAACTTTTTATTCACCTGACATAACAAGTTTTAGATTTTTAGTCACATCCGGCACTTATATCGATAATTGTATTCTACTACACTAATGAAAACTTCGACCGATGAATGTTTATCGCAGGTTTTGTATTTCTTATGACATTAATCGACTTGAAGTAAATTGGTCAACAAACGTGGATGGATTACGGTGCAACTATTTAAGTTAGATAAATTAGTAAAATTGAAAACTCAAAGTAGTCCAGCAGGTGGTTACACAATGAAACCAGGTGCAAAAACCTTTGGTATGTAGCAAACAAAAAAAATAAGTAAAATTTAAACCTTTACATTCGAAATTCCTAAGCGCTACTCACAGATTACTAGTTTTGAACGGAATTATTTCACCTTAAACTCATCTTTACTATCACAAATTTGTTCATTTAAGGGCAGTCTATATTAAAGTGACATTTTATTTTAGAATATAATTTGATTTTACAGAGATCGTTGTAAAACTGGAAAAGTAGTAAGTTAATCCTGAGCTAGGAACAAAAACGTTGTTTACTGCTACCATCACTAACCACTATGCTCACGTGAACCAACGGTCGAATCTGAAAACAAGAACGTGTACCTGGTAAATGAGACAGATTAGGATACTGTTGAGTACTTTTATTTATGTTGATAGGTAATTTTAGTACTGCATATATATATATATATATATATATATATATATATATATATATATTGTCTATAATGAACATCATTCCTTGATAATCACTTGAAAACCATGAATTTCAGTACTTAAAAGTAGTGAGCACACCATATGTAATTACGAATGTTGTACGTGACAATAAGCCAAAATCATAACATAATATAAAAAATGCAAAGCAACTTCAGTCTCTAGAAGCGTGGATTGGAAGGTTTAATTATTGTTAGTACATGAAACAGTTATTTGACTATTAATAGCCGCGAACAGTTTAGATATTACATGGATGGAAAACAGATGACTGATTTCTTTTTCTTTGTAGAATACTACTGACGATGATTTCACTGGAACACTAACAACCAAATTTCAAATGAAATGAATATAATGACAAACTAATTCCTAAAATGTGCTTTTTTATTTAATTTTAGTAAGCAATCCCTGATATGACATCAGTGTTTTAACAACCTCAATAGTTATGAAACAGTTTGGTGTTGCTAGTGTTAACATGTTACTGTCCCTCAAAAACAGCCTAATTACTTCGTGAAAGAACGCTTAAGCAAGCTAGCTTAGTCAACGCATTTATAAAGCTGAGCGAGCAATCGCGTTAAATTCTCGGCATCACCTGCAAATAGAAGGCAAGAGCGTTCATTTGTTGCAAAGAACTGGGTAGTGACCAACCCAATTTGCACTAATTAATGCATATAATAAGCGCAAAACCTCTGAAATATTGTGAGATTTTCCCAAAAACAATAAGAAAGATTTGTGGTCTTTTCAATGCAGTTCAGTGGATTTCTTCAGAGTTAGTTTACACCCCGAGTTTTCCGGAAAACTGCACAGTTTTCCCCAGTGATTGGTATTAGAATTCCCCTGAAATCGATCAAATTTTCAACAAAGCTGGGAGATTAAATTGTGTTAGGCACAACAGCGATGCGTTATAGTCAATACTCCAGCAAAGTATAATGATGAAAAGTCTTTCCTTATTGGGTCAGTGTGTCACCTTTTATTCAAACTAACATCTTATATGTTATGCAATATTTACTGGCATACACGATGGATACGGAATACATGACTATCGAAATAACCGCTAACAACTTGCATGTAAATGCTGAAAATTGTAGTACATTAATTTATTGTATTTGCCGAGAATCCATTCTATTATTTTGTAGAAGGACGTAGTGGAACTAAGAGGCATAACACACCAACACGACTCACCCGTTCACAATGTGACTTTCCACAAATAATATCGCCAAGTCAATTCCCACTCTGAGTGTCCTTGGTTATCGACGTTGTCAAAGATCCAATATATCCAATATCTTTTTAACAAGCTAGTATAAACCAATTGATTTCTTTGAGCTCGATTCTTGTTCTTTCGATAAGGTTCCAGATGTCCGGTAGTGTCTAATGAATGGGGGTCTAGCCACTCGATTGTCTAATTCTAGTCAGTCGGCAGTTGGTTGTGAGTCTGTTTGTCTCGTGAATTGAATGAATGCGTTTGTTTCGGGGCAGTTGGGTTTCTGGATACCAGCAGCTATCACATTACCAGAATGGAGATCAGTTAGTTGCACAGTGGAAAATAATATGGTTATAATTCCAATGCTAATGTGAATAAGATTTGTAATTACAATATACGATACCGTTGTAACGAGATTTTATAAGCTGATTGACTTCTGTTCACTCGCTTACTGTTCTCACAGTATGGTTTCAGCTGGTTAATCGTCAACTATTAGTATATTTTAATGCCTAATATCATTCAGTGGGTTTGAATGGTTGTGGATAGAATAAAAGTTATCGCTTGACGGACTAATATATCTAGAAGCAATGGATCATCGATTCCACCAGGTAGGAAGGTCAATACATTCAACGAGTAAAGGGGAAATGATGGTAAATAATAGTGTAATACCGTCCAGAGTCCTCAAGAAAATGTCATGTTTCTTCGTGTAAGATTTCAGAGAAGTTTACTCGTAAAGAGTAGAGGGAATGCCTACAGTCCAATTCTCAGTGTTTGCATCCTAGCTTCTGGGCGTTTCCCAAAAGTTTATGTTGAGTCTGAGCTTAATTAAGTATTTTCGGACATGTTCAGGAGTATTTAGAATGCTATGAGACATTAAAGTGTCGCCTCTGATATACCTATACTGTATTGGGTGGAGGTCTAATGACTTGAAATGCTCTTCATGAACTCTTTATTTAAGTCCTTCAACTGATTTTGTGGTTAACTTCTGGACACGTATAAGTGTATATCTATCCTTTTGGAGGGGGAGGAAACACCCATATATCCATATCCTAAACATGGCTGAGTAAAACTAATAAAGGTTAGGAGTATTTAATGTGAAGCAGTAGTTTCACTTTACAGATCGTCATCTTTGTTTTAACGGGACAGTCGAAATTCTGAAGCTGCTGGGTATCATGTTATCAGAGTCACTTGGTCATATAAACTCACAACAACAGAATATGAGTTGTGGGACCAGGTAATACACTGTTGGCTGACTTGACTATATGAGCTTCAGTGAAACCGGACCATCTTGTGGAAACACGTTCTTTAGGCTCCTCCAAGGGTTGTGACAGAAGAATTTTTTCACCGGAAAGTAGAATGAATGTTTGGTGGGTATCTAATATGTCTTGATGCCAACCCTTTCACAGATGGTTGCTCTATACTCGAAAGACGGCCAAACACTAACCTTCCCCGACCGAAGAAGGAGAACAAAGGCTAGTGGCCACTAGTCCAAGATTATTTTCCATCATTGCATTTCAGACATTCCTTTATAAACATGCAGAACCAAACCATATAGCACCAGTTAGCGGAAGTTAACATTTATTCATAAAAAAATGCAAGAATTGAGTGAGAGCAGGAGAAATGACAATTAATAAACTGTCAACAATGCATGAACAATACATTGTATGAGAATAATTTAATTAAATAAAAGTTCAAATAGTGATAACGTTATTATTGTAAATACAGGAAAGAGAAAATTAACGTAATACAGGAAGAATAAGAATGGATGAAAAATTATCACATTACCCCAGGCCAGGGTAAATTCAATGCTATAAAAAACTGTTTCTGTACACATAAGTGGGTTTTAATTAACGAATAGCCAGTGCTCCCATAACCCTCAGAATTTGACCTACAGTGTTTCTATGCTTTGTTTTGAAGTCTGTCTTGACGTCAATCCTATGCATTGTCTCATGGTTTTCTATTTCCCATGTTTGTCCGGTCATCTGACGTCAACTGATTTAGAAGCTACTAAGGTTCGTTTTGCATAACCCTTGATCTTAAAGTCCGATTACTCTTCCCTGTGTATGTGTGTCCACACAAACGCGTAAATACAATGAGATTTGATTTAATCATTCGAATAATGGGCTTAATCTTTTCAATTCTAATCAGATTGGCGGCGTGGTAACTGTTCTCTATGGCTCCTAGAAGTAGCTGTCTTAAGATTAAACCATTTGCTAAGCCTCTGCTGAAAAAGAAAATGTTTATGTCACTTTACCATGACTGAGAACGAAACCTTCCGTGAAGCTCAACATGGACTTTGGAAAGACAGGTCATATGCACCGAAACTTCTTATAGCATGGACAGCTGGACGACCTGCACGGACCGAAACATGCCAGTTCATTTGAATATTCCATGACCTCACAAAAGCCTTCGACACAGAAACTAACACACTCCTAGAAGCGAAACTTTCGAAAATGGGCTTCACTGATCTACCTCTTTCTTATTTCAGGAACTACACAGAGAATAGAAAGTGTCGTATCAAGTAAATAGATTGTTTGTTAGTTTTTGAGTCTCAGCTTCAAGAATTTCAAAGCGGACCATCTTAGATCCACTCCGTTTGGTTATCCTCAATAATGACTTGTTAGATAAAACAGGCACTAACCTCTGCAGACGATGCAAAGATCTGGAGGTTCATAGGAAGTGAGAAGGATTTACTTCTGCATTTAAAGGATCTTACAAAAATAGAGAAACTTGCAATGGACAATGGATTAAAACTCAGCCGGTCGAAATGTCACATCGTGAATACTCTACTTCACTGTTACAAACATTTTACATCCTCAATGTTAGTTTGCTCCTGTCACCTGGAAGCGCGATCTCGGTCTAAAAATCATCCGGAGCAAACGCAGCCGCTGAATTTATGAGAAGACAACTTAGTAAAATCAGCCTAAAACTGTTCTGAGCTCTCTTCAAAACAAAAGCACAGCCACACTTGGAATTTCACAGTGTCGTCGCACCACCTCTTCATAAAAAGACTTCTTGGATAGAATCCAGGGATTAGTAACTAAATGGGTAATAGGTTTTAAGGAAAATTCCTACGAAGATAGACGCCAGGACCTGCGATTATCCTCTCTGATTGATGGAAAGATAAGAGGTGACCTGATAACGTAACAAAACACGTTAAATACGCTGAATCACCCCAACTTGAGAATCTTGTCAAAACATCACAACCATACTCCTCAAAGTAAACTTCGTACAATCGCACCACAAAGAGAGAACATCCGGGCTTGCACTCACTTGGAGTTACATCATCTTGGCATACTCTGTTAATCAAAGTGATCACCGCCCACTCGATGGATAGCTTTGAGAAGAAACTTGACAGACACGTACTCACATACAGATAATCATTTCACAATAAGACCAGCTATGCCTGATACACGTCTGGAAACTACCCTTTTGTCAACATTACCATCAAATCCGATAGATAGCTGATTCTATGTCGCTTATCATTATCTCTCTTTCCTTCATCAATCCTCTCACACTAACTTCAATAGCATTTAATGAACTTAATTCAAAAATCTCACTAGCATCACAGTTTTCTTTTAAGTGTTCTCCGTAATTTGGTAGCTGCTGGCATCCAGAAATCCTACTACCATGTAACAAACGCACTCACTCAAATCACGCAACGTACAAATTCACAGAGAACGGCCAAATGATTAGAATTAGTGCAGTTCGGCTGCTACACTATCATCCACTTGACGTTACCGTATTGCTAAAACCGGAACGAACCAACAAGAATCGAGCGCAAGGAAATCAAATGGTTTATTCTATCTCTCTCTCCAATCCCCAAAGGAGATAGGGATGACTCAGCCTGTTACAGACCAGTCTCATTACTACCAATAGTATCAAAGGTAATGGAAGGGCTGATGAACGAACAGATGAGGGCGTACATAGAATAGAAGAGAATACTCCACAAAGTTCAGCATGGGTTCTTGAAAGGCAGGTCGTGCGCATCCAATCTTCTCATAGAATGGGACAGTTGGACATCCTGTTTGGACCAAAAAAATACCGGTGTACATAAAATTTCTTGACTTTGCAGAAGCCTTTGGCAAATTACCCCAATCACGCCTAATAGCGAAGGTTGCGGAAATGGGCATCACTGACCCACTCCTATCTTGGCTCAGAAACTACCTTGAGAATAGAAAGGTTTATACCAAAGTAAGTATAGTGCACGCGAGTTAGCGAGTCTCACCATCGGGAATTTCACAGAGAACCATCTTAGGTCCACTTCTCTTCCTGATATTTATTACCGACCTGTTAGATACAGTTAGCTCAGCGGCATCGATATACGCAGACGATGTAAGGATCTGGATGTCCATTAAAAGCTATTAGAATTCGACTGAGCTTCAAAAAGACCTTACACCCATTGAGGAATGTACAGTAAAAAACGGTTCAAATCAAAACCAGCCGAAATGTCACGTCATGTACATTCTGCCCCACATGACGCAAACGATTTACACCCTCAATGAAAGTCAGCTCCCCAACGTCTCCTCAGAGCGTGATCCCGGTTTATCAATCAGCGGAAGCTTCCACACCAGCTCAAACTATATAGGGGACGCAGCCAAGGCAAATGCAACTCTTCACAGCTTAGTGCTATCACCCTTGAATTATTCTTAAGGCTGTTTAAGACATATTCACGCCCACACCTTGAGGTTCACTATGTCGCTGCAACCCCACTCCCTAAAAGAGACATAAATCTGTTGGATCGAGTGCAGAGACCAGCAACGAAATTAATGATAGGGTTGAAGAACAAACTTTACGACGACAGACTTCCGCATTTGGGATTATTCCCACTGACTCACAGGAAGATCGCAGGTCATCTCATTATGGCGTACAACATATTAACCACACCGAACCATTCCAAAGTGAGCATCTTACGGAAGCATCACCACCTCGACACTCGAGGTATTCCTCGAAAAATTGCCCAAAAAATAGCGAATACTCAGGTTCGTGTACACTTCTTCTCAATAAGAGTCGTCGCAACCGAGGTGACTACAGCCCCACAGTAGACAGCTTTGAAAAGAGACATAATAAACACCTACTCATACACGGATTATTATCTTCGTGGACAAGCTGTACCTGGTGCATGCGTGGAGACTTGCTAGTCTATATTACCATCTCCTCAGATAACTTACTTAGAATTAGACAATGGAGTGGCTAGACACCATTCATTAGACACTGCCGAACATCTGGAACCTTATCGAAAAAACAAGAATCGAGCTCAAAGAAATCAATTGGTTTATATTAGCTTGTGAAAAAGGTATTGGATATTGGAGATATTGTCGCGGTAGAAACGTCTAGTGTGTTACTGTCAAGCCCTAAGTCATAGATGGTCGATAAGGTTGAGGAATTAGCTCTTCAAGATTCAGAGACGCAGCATGGCAACAAACAAAAGAAGAAACGAACTAAACTCATAGGTAATATAGTGATTCAAAGCTTCTCATTCAGGCATTTAGATTCGACACTTAAAGGACTTCCTCAAAATGCTTCAGGCGATGATAAGTTTGAACATATGTGTCAGAAATACTATGAACTCTACCAAGAGCATAAAGAGAACTCTTCAAAAAACAAACAGTTCGAACAAAATATGCAACAGGTAGGTAAAGTTATTCACTTAAATGAAGGACCAAAACTGTGGGTTACAATCAACTATCCTTACCTCAGTAACATAAGTTAAATCGGCTCTTAAAAAAATAGTGCTTTTAAAACTGTCGGAATAACGCCATTAAACGGTTATGTTTTTTGTGTTATGACTTGTTTGGCTTGTCTAAGAGTTTCCCCACTAATTACTGAAGTTTTAGTAGTACTAATCACTCTTTTCCAGCATATTTCATGCTAAATTAAGCATTTGTAAAAAATGAATAGTTCTAGATAGGACCAATGTATCTGAACTAACTTGGAAAGTTTGTTATTAAAGTCTATTCATAATTTTGGTGAACTCTTGAATACATTCGTTGTAGTGATAAAATGAACCTCTACTAATTATTTTCATAATTTTTGAAGAAGTCTACAGTAAATGTCGAATATTACTTAAGAGATACTTGACAATCACTCACATACATATGCTTTTGAATTATCTACTGTTTATTTTCACTAAGTGGTTATATCATGGTTTAAATTTGATGGGGCTTTGACTTGTTGAAACTAAGTAAATTTAGTTTATTTCTCTACTTAACATTCACACCTGTATCTCTCAGCTTATATTGGCAATAATCATGCCTAAATCTTTAGATATACAGCTGTTACATATTAAACATATCAGGATCATATTTCATTCAACCTGATCCTAAGCTTATCCGGTCACGATTGGTCTTAGCTTGGGAGTGGTGATAAATATCAAACTGTCTGGCGGATGGATAAAAATATATGCTGGTAAACGTCTTATAAAATTTATCTTTGTAACAATTGATCTTTTGATCAAAATAATTATATTCTGTTTTCTTTCCTTTAAATCTCATTGTTACATATTTTATGAGAGCTTTCTCGTTTCATCTGTTTGTACCAAGTGTGTCTTCCAAAAACCATTTCTGTTTATGTCATACGTATATAATCTTAAAGTCATTCTTCGTCTTGATGGTTTCTTTTCGGGTATATTTTTTTCAATATTTATCTATTTTGTCAACTGTGTAGGAATGATTGTCTTAATTTGCAATAACACCTAAATCATTAATGCTGCTTAAATGAGATCGATATACATACAATTACGGTATTATTTGTCTTGATGTAACAGCTTAGTTTAAGTTCTCTCTTAACTGTACTACGATCTACTTTTACGTTTACAAAATTTTTTATTTAAATCAACCCTTATTATTTTAGAGGATTTTTCTGCCTGAGACTTTTGGTGTTTATTTAAACGTTCAAATTAACAGCACCTACGTTTGCGTTATTAATTTTTATAACTAAATCGCAGTTTTAGATTATAACTAACAGTTCGACGATCGATTTGTCCAGTCGATCATTATCAACGTGAAATGTAATACAAGTGTGGATCGACTTGAATAATCACACCTAATTTTCACATACTGAAAAAAAATCGACAAGATGGAAGGCATGGGAGGAGTAATAATATTGAAAACAATGAAGGTTAAGACATAAAAAACTCCATGCACATAGAATAAATCTAGTCAAAAGATGAAAAGTTGAGAATAACATTTAACTTAAGATTTTGAAGGATATGGAAAATAATTGAAACTGCATTAGTCATTCGGGTGTCCGATTATATACGAGTAGCGCTTCAAAAATACACATAACCGAATGCCTCCAACACACGTGTCTTTTACTTTCATGCGTCATGTTTTATAGCCTCTGCAAAACATACTTGTTCCCTGGCTGAAATTTCGGACATCTCACTCTGGTAACGAAAAATGAATCTTTCACCAACCTATTGACATCCAGTTCCAAAAACATTCTCATTCTCTGTTTCTGAACTCCAATCAAGCGTTCGATCACTATTCATCGTAACCTCTTATAAACCATGATAGTCAAACTGATTCCCTTGCCGTTGTTATGAGATGTCTGTTCTTTTTTTTCATACTAGACTGATCAGTGGTCGCAGCTAATCTAACGTAGTTAATTATATATAGCCTTAATTCATTTCACTACTAAAACTAAACTATCGTCTTTAAATATTTCTGAAAATAACCTATATTAACCCAAGTCGCTCACAAAACATTTTTTATTTGATTTAACTAAATGATGATGTCCCGACCACCTCAACTAATTAAGTGGTTGGGACATGTGTTTCGGATGCCTAACCACCGACTGCCTCGACGAGCTTAGTTTTGTGGTGTAAGAGTAGGTTGGAAGAAAGTTAGAGGCGGCTAGACTAAAACATGGCATCAATCCATGAAGTCATTGACAAATGGACTGAGTCATGTCGGTAGTTGTCGACTACCTGATTGGGGTCCGCGAGACGATAGTTACCAATAGGTAGAGACCTTGAATGACATGGCTCAAAATCATTTGCAATGGTGCAGGTGCATCCACTCTTTGTGTTCTTTGAAATTATAATCTTCTAAATTCCTCATCATCTCTATCTTTATCTTTCTAAATTTATGTCACTGAATTATACTTCTTAAATAATAACTTCAATCCCTAACATTCCTCATTACCGCTAATTCTTTTACTATTTCTACCAGGTGCATTCATTCATTATGTTCTCTCAAATCCTAAATTTCTGAGTTCTTCATCAGCTTTATCTTTCTCTTCCTAAAGTTATCTCAATGAGTTATACTTCTTAAATTAATATCTTCAAACCCTTATCTTCTACATTACTGCTAATACTCCTACTGTGGTGCGCGCTACTTATAAGTAGTATATGACTTGAGTGAAAACGTATTGTCTGACAGCAGAAGATGGGGGAAGATCAAGAGAAAGGAAGAGTGGAAACACAATGGAATTTGTATGAAATAGCATGAATAGTGGTGAAATGTCAGACAATGGATTGATGATGGATTGAAGATTTGCAAATTTCACCGTTTACGATATGGTTTTCCTATTTTACTGAGTAACTCTGTAATTTGCGATAAATACAATTCGGTTGCCCTCACCTGTGTTCTCCTTCACTAAACTACTGCTTCTACTACTATGGGATTTGAATTGACAATTGCGTCTCTCTGCTAATGTGGTATGGCTACTTGAACTGATGTACGTATGTACGAAGTTCTACATTGTAACTGATAGACTGACTGAAATCACTTACCACAAACTAATGAATGCGCTTTATTTTAAATTTTATAACTTCTCTTACACATCCCTTCTATGAATATATATACATATATTTATGTATTTTTTTTAAAAAAATTCAAGATACGTATTGAACGAGATCAGCTACAAAATGAACGTAATCGTTTAATTCTACAAAAGGATAAACTTGAAACATTATGTCGTGAATTACAAAAACAAAGTAAAATTGTTCAGGTAAGATGTATTAATTAACAGAGAATATACTTATTTATATATTTACCTACTTATTTATCTCTTTTCTCGAAACTAATAATCAGTGGTATTTATTTATGTTTAAGAAAAATCAAAAATACTGTGGACTTTTTGCCAGGAAAATCGCTTACTGATCTAGAATATGTCGATGACATTGTCCTGCTTGGTGAAGACGCTGATAAAATGCAGAGTCTTCTGACTACCATAAGCAACAATGAACGCATGTTCGAGATACGGGTTTCTCCGTCAAAACGCAAAATGTTACTTCAAGATTTGGGTTGCATCGGCACCTGAACTAGTGATGATAGTGAGTGAAGTAGTCGAGCGTGTTGATCACTTCACTTGTTTGGAGAGTCTCATCAGTGCTGATAGCCTGATGACTGACGAAATCTCAGCACGGATACAGAAAGCTCGATTGGCATTTGACAACTTGCGTCACTTATGGTGTAGGCGAGATATCCATTTGCTAACCAAAGGACGAGTGTACTGTGCAGCAGTGGAACAACCGAGTAAGCAATGCTGTCGTTAGGAAACGGGTGCTAGGTAAGAATGGCAGATCAATAGATGAAGCAGTGAAACTTCATCAGTTGAGGTGGTTAGGACATGTGTTACGAATGCCCAACCACCGACTGCCTTGACAAGCTATGTTTTGTGGTGTAGGAATAGGTTGGAAGAAAGCTACGGATGGCCAGACCAAAACATGGCACAAATCCATGAAGTGACTGACAAGTGGACTGAGTCATGTTGGCAGATGTAGGCCACCTGGTTGGGGTCCGCGAGACGAAAGTCACCAATGGTTAGAGACCTTGAACGACATGGCTCAGAATCGTTTGCAATGGCGCAAGTGCATCCATTCGTTGAGCTCTCTCAAATCCTAATCTTCTGGAATCGTCAGCACCTCTACCTTTGTCTTTCTAACTTTATCTCACTGAATTATACTTCTTGAATAATATCTTCAAACCCTAATCTTCTTCATTACCATTAATACCTCTACTATCTTTATCACTATGGGATTTGATTTGACATTTGCATCTCTGTGTTCATGTGGTGTGGCAAGATGAACTTATGTACATACGTACGAAGTTCTACGTTGCAACTGACTGACTGACTAAGTTTCATCTAAAATGCTGATTATCCTTTGAATTCATGAAGTGATTATTTATTCATGAAAACTTTAAATCAACTCTTTCTAAAATATTATTATCTTGTAATTTCATCAGTCAATTCCATTACATAATAGTTTGTTTTGTTGTAAACTAAGAAAAAGCTGGCTTTATATGCATGACTGGTCTGTATGACATTGAAAAATGTTATATTTTAATAAGTTGAATTGTAAAACCTAAACATTTACAGAAAAAACCTGAATCTCTTAAACTACACAACACATATTATTTTGTAGTGAACATTGGTTCGTTCAGTTTATGGATCAATAGTGATAATGTTTTGTTGTTGGTGTTGTTACTGGCACTTTATACGTCACTTTAGATTATTGATAATTTACTTTGGTTGTTAGCATGCTAGCTACAATGTGAACTAGAGACTCTTACAACGTAGAATTTCTTACGTACGTACATCACTTCAGGTTGCCATACCACGTTAGCACAGAGACGCAATTTTCAGTTCGAATCCCATAGTGACAGAGATAGTAGATGTATTAATGGTAATGAAGAAGACAAGGGTTTGAAGCTATTATTCAAGAAGTATAATTCAGTGAGATAAGGTTAGAAAGACAAAAGTAGGAGTGCTGACGAATCCAGAAGATTAGGATTTGAGAGAGCACAATGAATGGATGCACTTGCGCCATTGCAAACGATTTTGAGCCATGTCATTCAAGGTCTCTAACCATTGGTGACTTTCGTCTCGCGGACCCCAACCAAGTAGCCTACATCTATTAACATGACTCAGTCCACTTGTCAGTGACTTCATACATTTGCACTATGTTTTGGTTTGGCCACCTCTAGCTTTCTTCCAACCTGCTTCTACACCACAAAACATAGCTCGTCGAGGCAATCGGTGGTTTGACTGAAGTAACACTTGTCCGAACCACCTCAACTGGTGGACGTTAATCTCTTCGTCAATCGATCTGCCATGCTTACCTAGTACCTGATTCCTAATAACACCATTGCTTGCTCAATTGTCCCGCGAAATACGAGCAATGCTTCAGACTTACCTATGGTCGAATACTAGTAACATACGAATATCTTCTACTCTTACTAGCCATATTGCACACCCGTATAGTAGGATGGAGAGGACTGCTGTGCAGTACACTCATCTTTTATTCAGCAGACGGATATCTTGCCTACATCATAAGTGACGCAAGTTAGCAAAAGCCAGTCGAGCTTTCTGTATCTGTACTGAAATTTTATCAGTCACCACGCCATCCGCACTGATAAGACTCTCAAGGTAAGTGAAGCAGTCGACACGCTCAACTACTTCACTTCTTTTCACTAGTTCAGGTGCCGGCTAGTGTTACAGTTATCATTATATTTATCAGCATACATTCTACGAATAGTGTAGAAGATACTCCAAAAAAAACTAGTCTTGTTAAGAAGAAGATTTATTGGAAAAAACATCAAGCTAACTCAATCATTATTAATTACGCAATTGATTATTGACTGAGTAAAGGATCACTGAATACAAAACCATAATGAAATAAACATTTTGAGGAAGAGGCGTTTCAAAGCCAAATAACTAAGTTCAGCTGATGATTTACATTAGAAGTTTATTGATAAAAATCAAGGAAATGCGTTAAAATTGATTGAAAAAGAAGTCACCTTAAATTGATGTACGAAATTCCCGACCGTAGCTGCTACCTTGACGTGGTGCTTGTCGGGCTTGCCTATCGTGATGACCCAACCGAGCTATACTGGCTGGAACATATGTTCCTGCAGGTCCTACCATGCCAGGCTGGTCGATTGGAGAACGATGAGACTAAAAGCAGCTACTCAAGGTCTGAGGTCGAAGTCGTACAGCTGACTGTGATGGAGGGGTGTGACAGCAGTAAGGTGTTTCTCTCGGACAACCAGCATCTGCAGCGATGCTGCCTTCTCACAAAGAAGGAAGGAAGGGTTAGAAAACGTCGACCCTAAAAATGTCACACCTCACCCTACCTCACGGATTTCCGTCTCCGGCGGTAAGGGTGCCCACTAAGGGCTTTCAAGAGCGGAGCTAATACTCAAAAATCCTTTCATAAAAAGGCCGTGACTGACTGACTGACTGATGTACGAAATTGAGATTGATTTGTGTGATAGTATATTTTATTTGAGTGACATGGTATCCTCAACAGTTGCAAAAATTGTTGAATTGAGTCTTTAATATTTTGTGTGTGCGGGGGGGGAAGGGAGGCTACTAATATTATTAAGCTCTCCCAAACCAAAGGATACGAGGGCAAAATTCAAACCTATGACCTAGTAATTGAACCATTGAATGCCTTGACCATTCAACTATCTAATTTTTAAATAATTAAATCATAAACACGAATCACATCAGACATTTAAGTCGGTTTACATTTAGTCGGATTTTAATATCACTAGGCAAAATGTATCCATCAAATATTCTAAGAGAATTATTTTTGTAAGTCTAATTCTATTAATCGATTCCTACTGGTCAAGTTTATGGTCGTCGTAGCTATCAATGTCACGTACTTCAATGTTGTTTCCCATTGGTCGTCACTTCAAATGGTGTTTCCTATTGGTGGTCCGAGATATCATTGTCACGTACCTCAATGTTTTGTTCCTATTCGACCTAACTGTATAGATACGTATTATCTGTAAAGTTTTATGACCCGGACCCGGATACCTAGTCAGGGATCCTTCTCATCTTCTAGACTTGGACCTCGTGCTTTCCAGATGCTTGCAGAATGCAGGTTCTACTACATATTAAGCCTTCTTCTCTTACTCAATGAGGGTTTGGAATGCTGGGATTAGAGTAGCCTATCGTGTCACCGGATCATCAATCCTCTCTCTAGTTTACTGACTAAGGTAAACGCGTAACAGTTCAAGCATATCAAGTTGACATGTTTACATCCATGCGTAACATTATTTTAACTCAATAAAAAGTTGCATAAATCACAAACACTACAAAGTACAACAATACAGTTTACAAATCGTAACATTCTAAAGAATCAAGTATTTATCGAACTAATATATATCTTAAATAAAAAGGTATGTATGCACTAGGTTTCCAAAATAGTCAGTCTATATGAATGATATTATGTTTGTATGTAGTACAGTTTGAGTGGTTAGAGTTCACGTGATAGCTATTGACGTCTGGTAATATGAATCACAATCCATCTCAATGATATTTTCACTTATATAACACTTTCATCCTTAACACACTTTTTGCTATCATTCTTATTCCTTTGATATATCTATCTCACTGTGATCACGTGATATAGCAATTTTTTTTAATTGATTTGTATGTATGTATGTATGTATGCCAAGTCCTACGGAAGCATTCTAACCACACACACACACACACACACACACACAATTGAGTGTTACTCATAAAAATCTATGTTGAAAGCAAAGATTTTACCTGGTGAATGATTCTATTATACATGTATGTTTGTAATGAACCTCAGCTAGTGAGATATCAATGGTAGTTAATGATCCGATGAACTTGGAAGGTAGACTGTTTCTTGCAGTAATTAATTAGAGATTAAATGATAACCAGTAGCTGTGTGTATCAAAAATCGAATATTGAGACTAAAAGCGCGAAAACTATTGTGGTGTGAGCTACTTATAAGTAGTATATGACGTGAGCGTCAACGTAATGTCTGGCAGCAGAAGATGAGGGGAAGATCAAGAGAAAGGAAGAGTTAGAAGAACACAATGGAATTTGTGTATGAAACACATGAATAGTGACAATGGATTGTTGATGTTTTGCAACAGGAACAGTCCAGTTCGATATGATGGATTGATATTTTGCAAATTAATTATTTACGATATGGTTTTCCTATTTTACTGAGTAACTCTGTAATTTTCGTTAAATACAATTCGGTTGCCGCACCTGTGTTCTCGTTCACTACAGTATGAAAGTGGTCACACTTTAAAAAAGATTCAAGAAGTACATAGAAACATCTAAAAATGTTGAGTGAATATCACACTAATAATAAATGAAGCAAATATTATTAGGTTATGTCAATACTTAAGAATATTTAGATGATATGTCACATACCAACGCAACAACAAATGCAAGAGAAGACAACCAGTGTAGCAGCAGCCTCAGCGGCAGCAGTAGGTCTCAACATACATAAACGAGAAAGCAAAATTCTCCGATGCAACACAACATGCACCAACCGAATCACTCTTGATGCAGATGCCTCGGAGGACGTTAACACCTTTACATATCTGTCATCGACGAGCAAGGTGGATACGATGCAGATGTGAGGGCACGGATTGGCAAAGCAAGGGCTGCATTTCTACAATTGAAAAATATCTGGAACTCCAAACAACTTTCAACAAAAACCAAAATCAGCATTTTCAATACAAATGTCAAGACAGTTCTGCTGTATGGAGCGGAAACTTGGAGAACTACCAAAGCCATCATCCAGAAGATACAAGTGTTTATTAACAGTTGTCTACACAAAATACTTCGGATTCGTTGGCCAGACACGATCAGAAACAACCTACTGTGGTAGAGAACAAACCAGATTCCAGTGGAGGAGGAAATCAGGAAGAAGTGGTGGAGTTGGTGGATAGGACACACATTGCAGAAAGCACCTAACTGCGTCACGAGACAAGTCCTCACATGGAACCCTCAAGGCAAAAGGAAAAGAGGAAGGCCAAAGAACGCACTACGCCGAGAAATAGAGAAAGATATAAGAAGAATGAACAAACATTGGACAGAACTGGAGAAGGAAGCCCAGGACAGACAGAGTTGGTTGGAGAAAACTGGTGGGCGGCCTATGCTCCTCTATTGGGGGTAACATGCGTAAGTAAGTAAGTAACTATGTCACATACCATATATTCAAACATTATTAGAAATGTAAAATGATTACTGAATAATTACAGTAAGTAGTATCGAGAATTATGCAAAAAAAGTGGTTGACTAGGCGAAAATAACAAATATCGATAAAAACTTATTATGAACGCGTCTACTATTTTTAAACCTCTTTATATTACATACAGGAAGAGAGTTTGTCACGTGCACGTATGGAAGATGAAAAACGTCGTGAAGTTTCAGATCATTTTCAAAAAAGTATCACAAATATACAAAATCAGTTATGTGAATATCAGTCGAAAAATATGGAGTTACGTAAAGAGAACCAAGAATTAGCTGAGAAATTGGGTGAATTTATCAAGCAACATGAAAAACGTGAAGAACATGTCGATAAGGTTGGTGTGTGTGTGTGTTTGTGCGTTTATTTATGCATTTGTACTATGAATTATTTGCTACATCTTATTTGGTCTTTTATCTCTTGTCCATCTTTATTTAAGAGAGGGTTTTTTGTAAAGATTGGTTCAATTTCGCGGTTGTATTGATCAAGCATTAGTTTCGGTTGGTTTACTATCGGAAGCAAGAAGAGGAATCTACATACAGTTAGTTAGTTACTACACATTTGAAATCATCAATCAATCATTGTTAGACTGCCACCATTAGAAACCTGGAAGCACTGGACGGCCGTTTCGTCCTGGTATGGGATTCATCAGTGGCAGTGCGCATCCACGACTCCTGCTCCTCGCAGGATTTGAACCCGGGACCTTCGGCATTGTAGGAGAATGCCTTACCATCGGACCATTGGGCTGGCATCCAACGGTGTTAATGTCTAACTCTGATTGATCTAGGGATGAGTCTCTGATGAGTCTCATACCAGGACAAAACGGCTGTCCAGTGCTTCGAGGTTTACTATTGGTGGTCTAACAATGATTGATTGATGATTTCAAATGTGTAAAAACGCAAACCTCCAAAACTCTGCCTCAAAATATTTAGTTACTGTTGAAACTCTACGGCTTGATCATTGAATGGAGTCTCAGTGATTCTCAGTGATGTTTGAGCGTTCGTCGTAACACCAAAATGTACTGTATTCAATTGTGGTGGTGTTTCGTTCTCTCTGAGCTGGTTGTTTTGGTTGTGGAGCTTTCATCATTGTTCTTCTGAACAACAACATCATCAGCACAAACTTCAGATAGAAGAAGTGAAGTATTCGAATTTCTCCTCCACGTTTGACCTGTAGCTTTTTCTGGTTAACCTCGATCTTGATTGGTTGCTGTTATCTTTTGACCTATCGTTGTTTGCAACTTTGTTTTGATTGCAACCCCCCTTTTGATCTGTTTCTTGATCCTATGATTTTTCTGATTGGTTGATAAATTGAGTCAATGTCGATGTGTTTCCGTTGATTGCTGATTGGTCTGATTGCCAAGCTTCTAAAAATTCTCTAGTGTTCTTTGTCCTCCCCCCCTGAAAGCTCAACAACCAAACCACATCCAGCTCAGAGAACAAAACACCATAATCATCCACCTGAGCTACAAATTTTCTCCACTGTATTCAATCTCTACTGGGGATCTGGATGCACACTGATACGAACTCCTGTGCTGGTTGGGATAAAACGATTATTTGTTGCTCCTTAATTTTCGAAACTGTCCTAACAAACTGATCTGTCATAATAAATTCAACCCACAAGTTTTCAAATCAATCAAATTTCATTGGTTTTTATAGTTGTCTATTCTTTTAAATCATATATCTATGTGTATAACATACCTACTTCAGTAACCGTTTATCTCAAAGTTTGGTTGGGATAAGAGTAGTTTAGGCAAAGATTAGGATTAGTCAAAAGTCACTAACTATTAATCTAAGTTATGTAAGGAAGTAGTGATCTTCATTTTCGGAGTTGGCAAGATAATCGTATCCGGTGGTTGAAGCTCCTATATGTTTATTAACTTAACACTAGAAGTTTTGTGGCTGCAGTTACTTCCATTCACCAGTGTATTTCAGGCTGTTTTCATTCTATCAGTTCCTTCTCACTTTACTCGATATAAATTACGATAATTTGTATTACGGGGTTGTGAAGATTGTTAAGTTACACATTTTTGAAACCATGAATCGATCAATATTAGACCACCATTAGAAACCTGGAAGCACTGGACGGCCGTTTCATCCTGGTATGGGACTCATCAGTGGCAGTGCGCATCCACGACTCCTGCACCCCGTAGGATTCGAACCCAGGACCTTCGGTATTGTGCGCGAACGCCCTAACCGTTAGACCACTGAGCCGGTATCTAACGGTGTTAATGTCTAACTTGATCAAATTCACGGAGTTGCGCAACCTCATACACAGTTTTCGGTATTAGTTACTGTCTACACTTGAACAGATTGAACTTCACTGGTCACGTCTTCCCACTAATTTGTGTTATCAAACATTTTCGGTAGCAGTATGCTGTTGAATCATTTATTTGAAAATGGTTTTGCATTAACCGGACTTTAGAATAAGTGATTTGTAGGGAATTTATTTACGTTTATAGAGACTATCGGAAGTAAACAAATTGCTAAGTAATTATATTTCATGTATTCTAACTACTGTGTTTTAAATAAGTAGTAAAATTAGTTTGTTTGATTCTTTCGTAGGTGACGTTAACACAAGCAGAAGTTTCTTGGAATTATTGACGTCCTTCTCATAGAATAAATTTTTTACGTACACAATCAATTAATCAATCTCTTCTTCGTCAGGAAATTTAATTTTTTCAACAAGGTTGATGGATATCTTCAGTCTCTTACTACCCCCAATCGAGCATAGGCCGCCCACCAGCAGCATTCTCCAACCAACTCTGTCCTGGGCTTCCTTCTGCAGTTCTGTCCAATGTTTGTTCATTCCTCTTATATCTTTTTCTATTTCTCGGCTTAATGTGCTCCTTGACCTTCCTCTTTCCTTTCACCTTGAGGGTTTCATGTGAGGACTTGTCTTGTGACGCAGTTAGGTGCTTTTCGTAGTGTGTGTCCTATCCACCAACTCCACCGCTTCTTCCTGATTTCCTCCTCCACTGGAATCTGGTTTGTTTTCTCCCACAGTACGTTGTTGCTGATGGTGTCTGGCCAACGAATCCGAAGTATTTTGTATAGACAACTGTTAATAAACACTTGTATCTTGTGGATGATGGCTTTGGTAGTTCTCCATGTTTCCGCTCGATACAGTAGAACTGTCTTGACATTTGTATTGAAAATCTTGATTTTGGTTTTGTTTGAAAGTTGTTTGGGGGTTCGAGACATTTTTCAACTGTAGAAATGCAGCCCTTGCTTTGCCAATCCGCACCCTGACATCTGCATCGGATCCACCTTGGTTGTCGATGATGCTGCCCAGATATGTAAAGGTGTTAACCTCCTCCAAGGCATTTCCATGAAGAGTGATTTGGTTGGTGTATATTGTGTTGCATCAGAGAATTTCGCTTTTTCCTTTATGTATGTTGAGACCTACTGCTGCCGCTGAGGCTGCTGCTACACTGGTTGTCTTCACTTGCATTTATTGTTGCGTGTGCGATAGAAGAGCCAGGTCATCTGCGAAGTCCAGCTGCGTCCTAGCTGTGCAGTTGACACCGCGCTTCCCTCCAGATGTTGACGTCCTCATAATCCAGTCGATTGATGTCCAGGAGAAAGGGTGAGCGTAAGCAACCTTGCCCGACAGCGGTCTTCACCTCGAAAGAGTCTTTTAGCTGTCCTTCATGTACGATTTTGCAGTTGAATCCATTATAAGAATTCTGTATGATGTTTACTATCTTTTCAGGCACACTGTAGTGCCGAAGAAGCCTCCACATTGTTTTCCTATCCACTCTATCAAACACTTTCTCGTAGTCGATGAAGTTGATGTACAGTAGTGAATTTCATTCACTTAATTGTTCCACAATGATCCATATCTTCAGTCTCTATCTAGTCTAGCAATAATTTAAGTTGTAGCATCATCGATATAGGAGAAAATTCAAAGTATATCTCATATATTTTCATACAGCAGAGTAAAATGGTCATTTCACTGCAAACAGATAGACAGACAGACAGACAGACCGGCAGATAGATAGACAAACGCAAATACCTGCCTAAATTTTGATTTTATTATGTCTTGTAATTTTTTTTTATTTATTTCTAGCTTATGGAAACACGTAGTTTAGAGTTGAAATTATCTGAAGCAAAATTAAACAAAGCCCATTGTTTATTAGATCAAGAAAAAGCTAAAAATCAACAGAAAATTCTTGCATTAGAAGAAGAAGTGAAATATTTGAAGAATCGTTTAGAAATTCAAAAAACCATTGAAGATAAATTAAAAGAACAGGTATGCAGTGTGTGTGTGTGTGTGTGTGTGTGTGTGTGTGTGATATTCTGCCTTTCTGTGTTGCTGCAGGTTTATAACCTGTTCTTTTCTAAGAAGGGATTGTGAAGTTTTAATATGAAGTTGTTTTTCTTTAATGGTCAGTTGTGGCTCATATAACTCGGTGGTTACATCCCAAATGATGAAATTGATATGTTCGTCAATTGAAATGCTTGAATGCTATGACGAGTTCACCTTAGTGTCGGTAAATGAGAACGAAGACAAATGATCCAGTGACATGATAGGCTATTCTAATCCGTTTGTCCCTGGCTCGGCTAACTATATCAATAAATCTTGATAAGGTGTAGAAAGTGTATTCTACAAGCATCCAGAAATACGAGGTTGCTAGACACACAAATCAAGCATAGCAACGTTTTTTCGAGGGCTACAAAGTAGCGTACTAAAATAATCCACCAACCAACGATAGTCAAGTATTTCCTGGGTGGGAAGTGTAATCTCAAGGTCAGCTAGGCAGCTTATGCACGAAAACACAATAAAAAATCCAAAATTAAGACACTTTCCAATGTGAGTTCTGGGGATTTAACGTCTCCAACAGAAACTAAGTGATCCAAGCTTGAATCTGATTGGAATTAATAACTCATTCGAGAGTATAGCTATGAAGATCACTTAAGTGTGTCTATTCCTCACTGTTAGAATGTTGTGGTTTAAATGGTAGATTTGTGCTACAAAATTTGTCAATTGTTTATTTATCATGGGTACTACTACTAAACAGTGACTTTTATACAATGAACAATGTCAGATAAAATGTATTCATCCAATTCTATACCAGTCAGTCAGTCAGTTGCAACGTAGAACTTCGTATCTAAGTACATCAGTTCATGTCGCCATACCACATCATCACAGAGATATAATTGTCAATTGAAATCCAATAGTAGAAGAGGTAGTAAAGGTATCACAAGTAATCGGAGAGGCTAGGGATTAGAAGATATTATTCAAGAAGTATGATTCAATGAGATAAGTTTAGAAAGTAAAAACTAGAGGTGTTGAAGAACCCAGAAGATTAGGATTTGAGAGAACACAAAGAATAAATGCACTGGCGCCATTGCGAATGATTTTGAGCCATGTCATTCAAGGTCTCTAGCCATCGATTATTATCATCTCGCGGACCCCAACCAGCATAGTCGACAATTACCGACATGGCTAAGTCCACTCGTCAATGACTTCATGGATTTATGCCATGTTTTGGTCTGGCCGCCCCTAACTTTCTTCCAACCTACTCCTACACTACAAAACAAAGCTCTTCGAGGCAGTCGGTGGTTAGGCATACGCAACACATGTCTCAACCACCTCAACTGATGAAGTTTCACCACTTCATCTATTGATCTGCCATCCTTGCCTAGTACCCGTTTCCTAATAACAGCGTTGCTCACTCGGGTGTCCCACGATATACGAGCAATGCTTCGAAGACATCTATGATCGAAAACCAATAACCGACGAATATCTTCTACTCTCAATGGCCATGTTTCACAGCCATAAAGTAAGACGGAGTGAACTACTGCACAGTACACTCGTCCTTTTGTCAGCAATCTGTGTGATATAATTGAATCATTTTAAATTTCTTTCAAAGTCACAATTTCCCTATTATTAAAGCTAAGCTGCTACCTGAATAAACAAAACGTTGCATCATTGAAATCATCAATCAATCAATCATTGTTAGAATAAACACCATTTGAAAGCCTATAAGCTGTTATGCTTGTCAATTGATATACTTGAATGCTATTATTATAACGAGTTCTTCACCTTACTTGGTAAACGAGAGCGAAGCATCAATGATTCAGTGACATGATAGGTTATTCTAATCTGAGTGTCCCAAGGCCTCCCACTAAGTAGAGGAAAACTTGTTGATATGGTGTAGAAAGTGTATTCTACAAGCACTCAGAAAACATATGAGGTTTCTTCAAGCCCGCAAATCGAGTTTATTTATACAACATGATAGAAACGTCGTTGGGAGAGCCACAAAAATCACGTACTAAAATAGTCCATCAACCAATGAGAGTCAAGGATTTTTGTGGTGGGACTTGTATTCTCAAGATCATCTGATCAGCACATGCTTGAAATCATAAAGACCAAAATTAGTACCTTTCCGAAGTGAGTTCTGAGGAACTAACGTCCCCAGCATAAGCACTGGACGTGCGTTTCGTCCTAGTATGAGATTCATCAGCGACAGTGAGCACCCACGACTCTTGCTACTTGCAGGATTCGAACCCATGAGCTTCGGTCTTGCGCACAAACGTCTAACCTCTCGACCACTGGTCACTAACAACAGTAATATGCTGACCACTAAGCTACTGAGTCTACATAATCACTATTTATTTTCAATGAGTGTAATATTTATATCATTTTATGGTAAGAGTTTGTATTATCCTTCTGTTGTTGTTATTTGACACTGAATTTTTAATCGGTCATCGTCACTGTATGTTAACATTAGCACTAAGATGCAGTTACACATCTATCTGATGAGTGTCAGATAAGAAGAAATATGAGTTTTTAGATTTTAATACTAGTCCCGATCTACCTATTTTAAAGATCTGCCCAAAATGCAAGTTATTGTCAATAAAAAACTGACTGAGCAATCCGGTTCTGATTACGAATGATGAGATAATTCAAAACTTATGGTTATTTTTCAATCAAAAATACTCTCTAGACAGTATTTGTTATATTTTCATATTTGAAGTTGTTCAGTATGGGCCCTACAATAATTACTCATTGTGAAACAATTGACTCATTCAATTATGAACTCAATAATGATAGTTGGCTTGTAATATTTTAACAGTTCGAACATTAGAATAAATGCACATGTATATAGATGAGGTTATATCATATTAGTATATTATCATCCTCTCTTAAATAAATATCACTGTAATTTAGACTAGAATATTGAATATTTCAAAACTCTAGCCATTATTATAGTGAAAATCCTAGTATCAAGTTAGTTTTTCAGTAAAGAACCGATTTTAAGTTAAACAACTAGTCAAAACGTAGAAGTATTAGATAGCTGGTTCGTTCTAGACTGACAGTCAGTCAGTCAGTTGCAGCGTAGAACTTCGTACGTATGTACATCAGTTCAGGTTGCCATACCACTAGACTAAAACCAGCTACTCAAGGTCTGAGAACGAGGTCGTACTGCTGACTGCAGAGGGGTGTGACGGCAGTAAGGTGTTTCCCTCGGACAACCCGCATCTGCAGCGATGCTGCCTTCTCACATGGAAGGAAGGGTTAGAAAAGGCCGACCGTAAAAATGTCACACCTCACCCTACCTCTCGGATTTCCGTCTCCTTGGGTAAGGGAGCCCACTAAGGGCTTTGAAAAGCGGAGCTAATTCTCAAAAAACTTCTCATAAAAAGGCTGTGCGTGATCGGCCTCAGGCATTTGTCCCATGGGTTCTGCCTTCACGCTCGCTGGTCGTTCAGACCAACACTAATCTATCTTCCTTTTCAGGTTCCTCAAGAAACAACCTTCCATGGTGTTGGCAGCCGGGAATTGACAACCGCCCTCATACCCGTAACAGCACACGAGACCAAATTGGTCGAAATCAAATCCCCTAGACTGACAGACACCTTATCAGCGATGCGCATCAATAAACCCCGCACGTGGGAATCAAACTGATGACCTACAGACTCATTCACGAATGCTCAACCTTCTATAAACGCACCACTGAGCCGGTAACCAAAAATATTTAATCCGTACCTTAAGTCAATTCACAACCAACGACTGCCTCGTCGAGCTATGTTTTACGATATAGGAATAGCTTGGACGAAAGCTAGATGCGGACAGACCAAAACATGGCACAAATCCATGAAGTGGACTGAGTCATGTTGATAGATGTAGGCTACCTTGTTGGGGTCCGCGAGATGTTAGTAATCGATGGTTAGAGAGCCTGAGTGACATGGCTTAAAACCGTTTGCAATGGTGCAGGTGCATCCACTCTTTGTGTCCTCTCAAATTCTAATCTTCTGAATTCCTCATCACCTCTATCTTTCTCTTTCTAAATTTACCTCACTAAATTATATTTCTTGAATAACATCTTCGAACCTTAATCTCTCCGATTACTTCTAATACTTTTACTACCTCTACTACTATTGGATTTGAATTGACAATCGTGTCTCTGTGTTAACGTGGTATGGCGACTTGAGCTGATGTACTTACGCACGTACGAAGTTCTACGTTGTTACTGACAGACTGAGTGTATGATCACCTTCGATTGTCTTCGACAAGGAACTGCCCCTTCATACTTGAGATGGAACTTATTTAATCAATCTCTTTTTTTACTCATTTCTTTTATGCTTATTCAATGTGTTTTACATTCACTTCTCATTGCTTCTACCGTTTCTTGAATATTATTTCATACAGATTGTATTCTATAAAGAGAAATATCAATCATTCAATAAAACTATGTCAGAAAGTCGTAGAATGTTTGATACTGCTAAAGAAGAAATGGAAAAGGTAAGGAAAATATCTTATTAAATATAGATGTACTTTCTGTGCATAGTTTATATATATATATGATCTTCAGTCCTTGCGAAATAGAGCCATCCATTGACCAATCAAATTCATTCATCATTTTTGTCGATTTCTGATTGGTCCATTGTATGTATATATATGTATATATTGTCTGAAAATTGAAATATGGATTACACGAAGGCAAACTAACGAAAGTAAAGTCACGTGAAGTTCCCTACAGTTATAAATTCGAAAAAGGGCCTAATCGTTAGCGAAAACAATCGTTTACCTATTTACGTAGATCACCAATCAGCATTCTCCAACTAACCAAGCAACCAACTCTGTCCTAAGCAGTTTCTTCTTTGATCTGCCTATTATTCGTTGGCCTTAAGGATTCCATGTTAGAGCTTGTGTCGCGACACAGTTTGATGCTATTCTAATTGTGGTAAGCTATGCTGAGTCATACCAGTTCATACAAACTAGATAGCAATAAAAACCAATGATACAATAAAAGTTTTAACTATACATATGGCTTGGTTAAATAAGTTAATCGAAATGCCTAACCAAATTAAATATATAAGCATTATGATAATCAGATCAGTTTAAATTAAGGTGATGTCTGAATAATTAAAACTGTGAAGTGTTTTTAACTACGCCATTTGTTATTTTAAATCACATTTACAGTTTTTTAAAGATAACAATCGGAAAAAAATGTACAAACTCTTTCCCTAGATTGATCAGAGTTAGGGCATTAACATCGTTGAATGCTGGCTCAGTGGTCTAGAGGGGTTAGGAGGTGTTCGCGCGCAAGACCGACAGTCCTGGGCTCGAGTCCTATGCGAGTAGCAGGAGTTGTAGGTGCGCACTGCAACTGCCGTGAGTAGTTCCATATAACAGGACGAAACGTTCGTCGAATGCTTCCAGGTTTCTAATGGTGATAGCTTAACATTGATTCAATCATGATTTGAACGTGTAAAAACACACTGATCTTCAATAACTTGAAGAAAAAACAAGATTGTACATAAACTAGTTATATTGTTGTTAACTGATCTATTTTAGTATATATAGAGTATATTAGTAGTATTGTAGTGAAGGAGAACACAGGTGAGGGCAACCGAATTGTATTTAACGAAAATTACAGAGTTACTCAGTAAAATTGGAAAACCACATATCGTAAACGGTTAATTTGCAAAACATCGATCCATTATCTGACATTTCACTATTCATGCGTTTCATACAAATTCCATTGTGTTCCAACTCTTCCTTTCTTGATGTTCCCCCATCTTCTGCTGCCAGACATTACGTTTACACTCGCGTCATATACTACTTATAAGTAGCGCGCACCACAGTATTTTTAACTGGTGAACGAACGTTTTTCGTTATCAAGTCAATACATTGTATATTCAGTATGAGTTTATTATATATGTGTGTGAGAGATAAAAACTCATATTCATTGTTATAGCTAGTCAGTGAATATTAATTTTTATGATGTGCGGCTGCGTGTCTAAGAATCTGTTATGCTCGTTAAATTGATATGCTTAAAACTATTACGAGTTCACCTTAGAGTCGGTAAACGAGAGCGAAGACAAATGATCCAGTGACACGATAGGCTACTCTAATCCGAGTGTCCCAAGGCCCCACTAAGTAGAGGAAGAAGTCTTGATATGGAGTAGAAAGTGTATTCTACAAGCACCCAGAAAATATGAGGTCCACAAGCACACAAATCGAGTTTATTTATACAACATGATAGAAACGTCGTTGGGAGAGCCACAAAAGTAGCGTACATCAACCAATGACAGTCAAGGACTGTTGGGGTGGAAAATGTAACCTCAAAGTCAACTGATTAGTCCATGAATAAACTCCGAAATTAGGACCTTTATCAAGTGAGTTCTGGGGATCTAATGTCCCCAACAGAATGTGAACATGTAACACGCTAACTTACAAAACTGGCTATTTGAGCTAGAAAGTAAGCCTATTCAGGCTACCAAATATATATATATATATATATATATATATATATATCCATCTGTTAGGATATTCATCCAATATCCTAAGACAATTATTGGTCAATCCCTATCAGTTAATTCCTACTGGTCAATTTTATGGTCGTCCTAGTAGATATCAATGTCACTTGCTCCAATGTTGTTTCTTATTGGTCGTCTTAACTGTCAATGTCACAGACTTTGATGCTGTTTCCTATTCAACTGAGATGTATAAATACGCATTATCTGTAACGTGTTATGACCAGGACCAGGACCCGGATCCCTAGTCCGGGATCCTGACTCTCGTACTCCTGGATGCTTGTAGAATACAGGTTCTACTTCACATTCAAGTCTCCTTATTTTTAGTAAATATGGTGGTTGGGATAATCGGATTTGAGTAGCATGTCGTGTCGCTGGATCTTCGATCCTCGCTCTCGTTTTCCGACTAAGGTAAACTGGTAATAGTTCAAGTATATCAAGTTGACGTGTTTACGTGCAGGCATAACACCATCTGCCTTAGAAAATTGATCTTTTTCCTTGTCCAATCAAATACATTTGTCCTTTTGATCATCATCAAATAAAATGACCTTGTTGTCATTTGGTCACTTCTGATTGGCTTGCATTTTTTTCACCTCTATAGCTTGGTAAACGTATACAATTAAGTGAAAATGAAGCTGTAGTATGGCAAAGTAAATGGGAAATTAGTCAACGTAGCCTGTTGGAATTAGTTGAACAACATAAAAAAGAATTAAATGAATCAGCGAATGCTAAAAAACAAGTTGAAAAGTTGACAAGTTTATGTAGAGCTCTGAAAGAACAATTAAATGAATTAAGACAACAAAAGCAACAGAAAAATCAACAATTAGAACAAGATGTGACATCTGCTAACGATGATACTCGTCCTGCCATCACTGATGATCATCATCTTCATGAGGCGGGGAAAACCGAAGAGGTAAAAGTTGACAATTCAATCGAGAGCGCCATTTTGAATGATCAACAACATCATGGTACACATGATAATAATAATAATATTGAACCATTGAACACGACGACGACTACCACTACGACTACTGTTGATACATTGACAATTGAAAAGAATCATTCTACACATGATGAATCGAATTGTACATTGAATACGGTCATTCAATGTTCAAATAGCATGAATCAATTGAATTTATTAAATGGTGGTCATATTATTGAAGATAGTAAGTGAGGAGGGGTGGAGGGTAACATTTAAATGATAATCACGATAATAATAATAATCCATTCATGTTTTTATTTCAGAGAAAAAAATGACTCGTAATTGTTATTATGTTCGTCACTAGGTGGTACGCTTGAAGCTAATTACGAGTTCACCTTAGTCGTCGATAAACGCGAAATGAGTCGATGAACCAACGTCCAGATAGGCGGCTACCTTGAATCACAAACTGTAAAACAGAAGGCTTTGTAAGCGTAGAAAGTATATTCTACAACACTCAGAAATTACGATGTGATCCAGCACACAACTCATTTATTTATACATGATAGAAACAATGTCCTTGGGACAGTTACGAAAATAGCACACTAAGATACACAGCAGCCAATCACAGCCATGGATTTTCCTGGTCCCAAATGAAATCTCCAGGTCAACTGATCAGCCCATGCTCGCAAACGTGAAATCCAAAATAAGGCATTTATCAAACTAGTTCTGGGGAGCTAACATCCATAACAGTAATAATAATTTAAGTGATTTTTTGGATGAACTTGATTGTGATGAGGTTTCATTCTGTGAGTTGGATGTTGTTTTGATTGTGGAGCTGGCATTGTTCTTCTTCTGAATAACATTGTTAGCAAAAACGGTTTTAAGCCATCTTATCGATGGTTAGAGACCCTGAATAACATGGCTCAAAATTGTTTGCAATGGCTCTGGTGCATTCATTCTTTGTGTTCTCTCAAATTCTAACCTTCGGAGTTCCTCATCACCTTTATCTTTTTCTTTTTAAGTTTATTTCACTAGATTCTACTTCTTGAATAATATTTTCGAAACCTAATCTCTCCGAATACTACTAATACTTTTTCTATCACTACTACTCTGGGATTTGAAGTGACAATTGCATTTCTCTGTGTGTGGTAATGTGGTATGGCAGCTTGAACACTGATGTACGTACTTACGAAGTTCTACTTTGCTGTTGATTGACCGATCGATTGCACAAACTTCAGGTATTGACGTGAAGAGTATTCGTATTTCTCCATGTATGATTCGCCATATATGAATATCAATTATTGGAAAATATAAACACTTGCGAAGTTTATTGAATTTTGTTATAAATCATGTTTCAATTTAGGTTTGATCTGCTGTGAATATCTGGAATCACTTAACACACACATGACAACTCTGTTGTCTTGGTGTCATGTGTGAAACCGAAAGTCCTGAGTTCTATTTTTCTATTTGAGAAGTCGTAGATGTTCATTGTTGAGGAGTCCTATACTTCGACTAGATGGTCATCCGGTGTTTCGAGATTTTCAAAACTGATTTAATTTTTATTGGTTCATACTATCAAAAGTAGACCCTAAAAATATCTTTTATTTTTATCATACTACTAGGTAAATATCAGTAGTGAAATTCAATTCATAAAAAAAGATCAGTAGCATCCGTTCGCTAACCAAAAGACGGGTGTACTGCGCAGCATTTCGCTCCGTTCTCCTATATGGCTATGAAACATGGCCGTTAAGAGTAGATGTTCGTAGATTACTAGTATTTGATCATGGATGTTTAAGAAGCATTGCTCGTATATCGTGGGACAACCGAGTAAACAATGCTGTCGTTAGGAAACGAGTACTAGTTAACGATGGCAAACCAATAGATGAAGTGGTGAAACTTCATCATTTGAGGTGGTTGGGACATGTGTTACGTATGGCTAACCACCGACTGCCTCGACGAGCTATGTTTTGTGGTGTGGTGAGAGTAGGTTGGAAGAAAGCTAGGGGCGGCCAGACCAAAACATGGCAGAAATCCATGAAGTGACTGACAAGTGGACTGAGTCATGTTGGTAGATGTAGACTACCTGGTTGGGGTCCGCGAGACGAAAGTCACCGATGGTTAAAGACCTTGAATGACATGGCTCAAAATCGTTTGGAATGGCGCAAGTGCATCCATTCATTGTGCTCTCTCAAATCCTAATCTTCTGGATTCGTCAGCACTCCTACTTTTGTCTTTCTAACCTTATCTCACTGAATTATACTTCTTGAATAATATCTTCAAACCCTAGTCTTCTTCATTACCATTAATACCTCTACTATCTTTATCAATATGGGATTTGAATTGACATTTGCGTCTCTGTGCTAATGTGGTATGGCAACCTGAACTTATGTACATACGTACGAAGTTCTACGTTTCAACTGACTGACTGACTGACTTCGGTATTGCGATAAACTCATTACCCGACATGAGACGAAGAGTAATATAAGTGTTTGGGCCCCCATTTGCGTGTCAAGCTGGGCTGCATCTCTTGCTATCATATGCCATACTATGTGTATACCATATGCTGTACTGTTATATAGAGCCTAAAGTTTCATATGAGACCAGAGATTCACTGTGAACAGTGTGGATGGCTTGGCATTGCTTTGGAAAGTATTGCTAACAGTCCATGCATAAAATTGGCTAGCAGGATGACCGACATCATATATACTGGTGGTGGTTTTATTACAATATTCCGGAGGGCCATTGTCGTTGGGGTGCTATATTGCCTATCACCATTGCTAATAATAATAATAATAATAATAATAATAATAATAATAATAATAATGATAATAATAATGAGTTTGTGACAGTTATGTAACCGGAATAGGTCGAAATGACCTGTTCAAGCTTTGCATATTAATTGACGCGATCATAGATCGGAAGTAATCATTATATATATATGTACTCGTGTATATAAATGGTGTGAATGGTCCACCAGGGCATCAGGTACCTGTGTGGGGTTGCACCACGCGATTGAGCCGAACTGTTCACGTTGAAATGTCAACACGTGGACAGTCTCCTTGGTTCTCCTGAAAAACCAATGTAAAGTTACTTTCGCCAATTGAGGGTTAATTTGTTATAATTGTGAACAAACAGGTTGATCCTACCAGTAGTCATATACTGTTCTATCATACTACTCATTTGATTGTATTACGTAACAATATCATTTCATCTCTCTTTGTCAATCAAAAAAACCTTTCTCGACTTTTCTGTTTTTTATTATTGTTGTTTTAATTGCATTGAAAGCATTAATCAAACCTTATAACTCATCATTTATTGTACAAAGTGTAACATTTCTCTCAATGTTTCAGTGAAATCATCATCATCCCCATCTTCATCGTCAACTTCTGAAAAATCCAACAACCTCTGAGATCAATGAGAATACGATATGATACATTGGGAATGGACATTGAATGGAATTCTTACTCATTTATTTAACTATTATTTCAATGAAGCCAATTGTTTGAGCAGTGGAAAAACACCGATTATCAATCTTTTCCTAATACCTCTGTGTGTGTGTAGGTGTGCATGTGTGCTTGTGTGTGTAGGTTCGAACGCTTTCCCTATCAATCAATCAATCAATCAATCGATCGATCGATAAACAAACCAGTTGTAGTTTTTTTTCTTTTTTTGGTATCGCACTTTGTCATTTTATCGATTCCCTTATTTTATGCATTTCCACAGTTTCTTCTTTTATTGATTTTTATTTCCAACCAATCACAACTGACCAACCAACAAACCAACCAATCACAACTGACCAACCAATAAACCAACCAATCAGCTGTAAGAGCACTCGCTATATATATACCACAACGAATCTGTCTTCCATGAGCTAATAGAAAAGTAGAAGATAGTCAAATCAAATATTTTGTACCCTTTAAAACTGTACTTGAAACATTTGAAGTGGAAAAAAAACACGTCTTTTTTTCTCCTGCCTTAGTTAGTGATTTGTTCCATTTTTTTTTAATGGACACCTCTATTATTATTATTATGGAATACTACTTTTCACTTTTTATTTTTCCTATCTATCATCTACTTTCTATTCATACATTTTAATGAATTAACTGATATTTTTTGAGAAAAAGAAAAAAAAGAATCATTTTCATTTGACAATGACAATCATTTTCTAACTAATGATGTGAGGCCAGTAGTGATCATCTCACATTACATCATATCTTTCTCTCTCTGTTCTTACTCAACCTGTTTATATTATGTTTCTACTGATTGACAAAATTTGACACTGTGCCTTATATAACAGAGAAGTGTGTAAGTAAGTGTCGTAGCCATTTAATAATTAGTGAGTGTATGCTTCATAAGTGGTGTACATTGGTGTGTTTTACACATTTGTGTCGTAGGTGCACATGATGATCATAATGATGATGTCATCAACTACAACTACACCGACAGCATATCTATCCTCCAAGATTGTTCGCGTTCTTTTTTCAAACATAATATTAAACATTAGTATTGTTAATAATAATGATTATTATTATTGTGTATATGCTGTGTGCAACGATTTTGATTGGTCGATTGTTGTATTTTACACACTGTCTACATACATAGACATGTATTCCTATGCATTACATGCTCATTCACTCACACACACAACAAGTGCGCGAGCACATAGCCCAACATATTTTGCACTGTATTTTTTATTTATTTATAGAAGTCTCTCCCTGTGTGTGTTTGTCAGTTGTTGATAAAATTTAGTTTTGCTGTTTGTAAAAGTATCTCTCTTTTTTTTCTTGTATCAATCCAACTCAACCGCCGATACTACTCTACAACATTCTGCTTGTATTTACTCTTGTTTTATATGGTAGATTAGATAGAACTGTTTGTTAAACATTACGATTTTATGTTGTTTGTGTGTGTGTATGTGTGTTTGCCCGACCGTAGCTGCTAACTTGATGTGGTGCTTGTCGGGCTTGCCTATCGTGATGACCCAACTGAGCTATACTGGCTGGAACATATGTTCCTGCAGGTCCTACCATGCCAGGCAGGTCGATTGGAGAACGATGATACTAAAAGCAGCTACCCAAGGTCTGAGGGCGAAGTCGTACTGCTGACTGTGATGGAGGGGTGTGACAGCATTAAGGTGTTTCCCTCGGACAACCAGCATCTGCAGCGATGCTGCCTTCTCACAAAGAAGGAAGGAAGGGTTAGAAAAGGTCGACCCTAAAAATGTCACACCTCCACTAACTCACGGATTTCCGTCTCCTTGGGTAAGGATGCCCACTAAGGGCCTTTAAGAACGGAGCTAATCCTCAAAATACCTTTCATAAAAAGGCCGTGCGTGACCGGCCTGAAGCAGTTTTCCCTTGGACTCTGCGGTCACGCTCCCAGGTCTCCAAGACCAACACTAATCTATATTTCTTTTCAGGTTCTTCAAGAAACAACCTTCCACGTTGTGGGCAGCCGGGAAGTGACAACCACCCTCATACCCATAACAGCACGAGAGACCAAATTGGTCGAAATCAAATCCTCAAAATGTGTGTTTGTTACGCACGCTTGTGAAGACGTCATTTGATATGCTTGAACTATTATTACGAGTTCCCCTTAGTCGGTGAACAGGAGAGAGGATCAATGAACCGGTGACATGATAGGATACTCTAATCTGAGCGTCCTAAACCCCTTATTGAGTAAAAGAAGAAGACTTGATATGAAGTAGAACATGTATTCTACAAGCATCCATAAAGTACGAGGTCCGAATCCAGAAGAGAATCAGGATCCCGGACTAGGGATCCGGTTCCGGGTCGTAAAACATTACAGATAATGCATATTTATACAGTTAGGTCGAATACGAAACAACATTGAAGTATGTGACATAGATAGTTAGGACGACAAATAGGAATTAACCAAGAGAACTAAACTTACAAATAATTCTCTTAGGATATTGGATGAATATCCTAACAGTGTGGTGCAAACATCAACTCTGGGATGCAGGTACATTATCCGATTGAGTCTCTAAATGAATGCATTGTGCATCGTTGGTTCTACTACTAGTCGCTCTATCCAACTCCGATTATCATGGTTATGACTAGTTGGGAATATCAAGACAATATCTACACGTGATACATATATTCAGGAGTGTCATCAGTGCTGATGACCTGGCGTGTAATGAAATCTTCACATGGATACAGAAAGCTTGACTGGTTTTTGTTAAATTGCATTACTTATAGCGTCGGAGAGATATCCGTCTACTAACCAAAGGATGAGTCTACTTCATAACATTTCACTCCGTCCTAATATATGGTTGAGTGACACAACCAGTAAGAGTAGATGGTATTCGATCGTAAGTGTCTGCAAATTATTGCTTGTATATCCTGCGATCGTGGAGTAAGCAAGGCTGGGATTAGGAATAGGGTACTAGATTTTGAAACTTCATCAGTTGAGGTAGTTGGGTATGTGTAACGTATGCCTAATCACTGACTACCTTGACTAGTGATGTTTTGTGATGAAGGAATAAGCTGGAAGAAACTCACAAATCCATGAAGTCATTGACAATTGGACTGAACCATGTAATTAAGTCTAGACTACCTGGTTGAGGTCTGCGAGACAATTATAACTGATGGTTAGCGACTTTGAATGACATAGTCGCTCAAAATCGTTTACAATGACTCAGGTGCATCAATTGTTTGTCTTCCCTCAAATTCTAATCTTTTGAATTCCTCATGACCACTTTTTCTCTTTTTAAATTTACCTAATTGGATTACAATTGTTGAATATTATTTTCGAACCCTAGTCTTCCATAATACCCATATTACTACTATGGCATTTGAATTGACAATTCGATCTCTCTGTGCTAATTTGATATGGAAACTTGAACTATGATGTAGGTACACACGAATTTCTATGTTGTAACTATCGGATACATATACGCCGATAAAGACTGACGCATTAAAATGCTAAACATCAATGAGAAAATTCATATAACCAATGTAAAATCATCACCAACAGCAACGTAGAACTTCGTACGTGCGTAAGTACATCAGTTAAAGTTACCATACCGCAGTTGCACCGAGACGCAGATGTCAGTTCAAATCCCATAGTAGTAGAGATTGTAGAAGTATTAGCGGTGATGGAGAAGATCAGGGTTCAAAGATATTATTCAAGAAGTATAATTCAGTGAGATAAGTTTAGAAAGAAAAAGGCAGGGTTGTTGACGGATCCAGAAGATTAGGATTTGAGAGAACACAGAATGAATGCATCTGTACCATTACAAACGGTTTTGAGCCATGTCATTCAGGGTCCCTAACCATCGATTATTATCATTTCGCGGGCCTCAACCAGGTAGTCGACACCTACCGATATGACTCAGTTCACTTGTCAGTGACTTCATAGATATCTGCCATGTTTTAGTCTGACCACCCCTAACTTTCTTCCAACCTACTCCTACATCGCAAAACATCGCTGGTTGAGGCAGTCGGTGGGTAGGAATTCGTAACAAATGTCTCAACTACCTCTACTGATGAAGTTTCACTACCTCATCTATTGACCTGCCATCCTTACCTACAACCTGTTTCCTAACATCAGAATTGCTTCCTCGGTTGTCCCATGATACACGAGAAATGCTTCGGAGACACCTTTGATCGAAAACTAACTTGCCAAAAAAACGTTAACTAATATATAATGAATTTATGTAATTAAATACTCTAGTTTTGTCATAACTTATCATTTTTTCAAATATACCACGAAAATATCTATTTCAGCACACGATTTTTATAGTTGTGATAGTATATGGTGGTTATAAGGAACAGTATAGGTGGCTAAACCAAAAGAATATGACGTCTGTCCTTAATAATACCATTAACAATTCATTTGAGCTGCGTGTGTTTATTGTAGACTAATCGGTTATGATTCATATCTTCATTCTAATCAACAGTTGTAAATATTGATCGATACAGACCAGAATCGATTGCACAGATGTTATTTACACTCTGTTATTTTGTAGATCTTGAATTTTCATTACTTCTGTGTAATATTTTCTATTATCACTGATATTGTTTTTACTAATTCTACTTCTCTGTGATCTTGATAATATCATTTCAATTTGGTGATATGATTCACAGCTGTGAACTAATCAACATACCATGTACTATATAAGTAATCATTATAACTGAATAACTTGACAATCGTATATCCGAGTAAGCAATGCTATTGTAAGGAAACGAGTACTAGGTAGGGATGGCAGATCAACAGATGAAGTAATGAAACTTCATCAGTTGAAGTGGTTGGGACATGTGTTAAGTACGCCCAATCACCGACTGCCTCGACTAGCCATGTTTTGTGGTGTAGGAGAAGGTTAGGAGAAAGCTAGGGGTGGTCCAACCAAAACATGGAAGAAATCCATGAAGTCACTGACAAGTGGGT